CTGTGAGGCCGGTGCTGCTGCTGTTGCTGGAGGTGAGAGGGAACTGGAGGGAAGCACGGCGAGTGATGGAGAGCCAAGAACGGCAGAGGGAGGGATGGGGGACGAGGGGAAGGAAGGTGATACAGGGGACGGACCGGTGGAGGAGAAAGGTGAGGAGGAGAGCGCAGGAGGGCAAGGAGATGGGGAGAAGGGAGAAGAGGAGGGAAATGGCGAGGAGGTGAGGAATGAAGTGGGAGCGGAAGGAGAGGAAGGTCAAGGAGAAGATGAGGGAGGAGAGCAGAGAGAAGGAGGAGAAGAAGGTGGAGAAGCGGCAGCTGCAGGAACAAGCAACGGGGTTGAAGGGGAGGGGGCAGCGGAGGAGGCGAAGGGGGGTAAAGAAGGGGATGGGGAGGAGAAGAATGATGACGTGGCATCTGTGTCGTCAGGTGGCGGCGATGGGGAGGATAAACGGGCAGGTGAAGAAAGCGAGGAGAGAATACAGGAAGGAGAGATGGGGGAGAGTGAGGCAGGGGAGGGCGACAAGGGGGGAGAGGAGGTGAGTTCTGAGGCAGGGGGGGTTGGCGGAGAGATGGGTGAGTCTGGGTTGGAAGAAGGAGCAGATGAGGAGGTGAAAGTTGAAGCAGCGAGTGCGGAACGATTGGAGGGAGAACAATGGGAAGGGGAGGAGGAGAAAGATAAGGGTGGGGTTGAGGGGGAGAGGGAGGAGGAGGAAGTGACTATTCATGTTGATGGTGAGAATGGGAAGGAAGAGGGGAAGGCAGAGGTCGAAGCGGCAGTGGTGGGAGTGGCAGTGGAGGCTAATGGCTTGCAGGTTGAGGAAGGGAAAGAAGAGAAGGAGGAAGAGGGAAGAGTGGAAGAGGGGGAGGTGGAGGCTGGTGCAGGACAGAACCATGTGAAGGATGGAGAGGAGAGTGAGGAAGGGAGTGAGAAGGGGAGTGAGAATGGGAGTGACAAGAGTGAGAGTAGTAGTGACAGCGATAGCAGCAGCGAGAGTGGGAGTGACAAGGAATGGGATGACGAGGAGAAGAAAGAGAAGAAGAAGAAGGATAAGAAGGAGAAGAAGGATAAGGAGGGTAAGAAAAAGAAGAAGGATAAGAAGGATAAAGAGGGCAAGAAGGATAAAAATGATAAAGATAAGAAGAAGAAGAAGAAAAAGGATGACGACGAGGAAGAGGAAGAGGATGACGAAGAAGGGAAGTCCAAGATAAAGGCAACCGAAGGCAAGATAAAGGAAATGGAGGCCCGTCTTGCTGAGGCCGAGGGCAAGATGGTTGCAATGGAAGCCTTGATGGCTGGGATGAAATCAGAAGCCGAGGTGCAGGCGCTGCTGCAGGCACAAGAGACAGAATGGGCCGCCCGTCTCGCCGAGGCCGAAGAAAAGGTCCAAAAAATGCGACTCCTTAGGCAAGCCTTGGAGCTAAGAGCGTCCAAGGCGGAGGAGCAACTGGGGAAGCTGAGAGAAGAGCTGGAAGAGGAGGAGAGGAGGAGGATTGAAGCGGAGGAGGCTAGGGACGAGGCGGAGGAGGGGAGGAGGGTGGCTGAGGAGGGCATGGAGGCTATGGTGGATGCTAAGAGGCAGACGGTGAAGAACCTGACGGAGAGTCTGCTGGCTTCGGAGGAGCAGAGGAAGAGGCTTGTTGCCGTGCTGCGATCAGTGAATGGAGGTAAGATTTAGGGTGGGTTGGGGCGGAGTGGGTGGGGGACTGGGGTGGGGGCTGGTGTGGTTTGGATTGTTCGCGGAGGCTCTGGTTGGCTGAGGAGGGGATGGAGGCTATGGTGGATGCCAAGAGGCAGACGGTGAAGAATCTGACAGAGAGTTTGCTGGCTTCGGAGGAGCAGAGGAAGAGGCTTGTTGCTGTGCTGCGATCGGTGAATGGAGGTAAGACTCAGGGTGTTGCTAGTGTTGCTGGTGTTGCTGGTGTGGTTTGCTGGTGCGAAGTGTTTGGGGACTTGAAGGAGGGGCGAAGGGTGGCTGAGGAGGGGATGGAGGCGATGGTGGATGCTAAGAGGCAGACGGTGAAGAACCTGACGGAGAGTCTGCTGGCTTCGGAGGAGCAGAGGAAGAGGCTCGTTGCTGTGCTGCGATCCGTGAACGGAGGCAATGCTTGGGGTGCTGGTTGTGAGACAATTCAGTAGCTGACTGCGATCGGGTATGCAGATAAGACTGTGGGGTGGGGGTGGGGTGGTTTGTTTTCGTTCGGTTTGCCTGGGGAGGAGGAAGAGGCTTGGCGCTCTGCTGCGATTGCTGAATGGAAGTGAGTGGTGGGATGTGCTGAGCAGGTGTTTGTGTGCGGTTGAGTGCACATGTGCATGTGCAATCTAGTCTCCAAGCAGTTAAAAAAAAAATAAGCAGCAGTAATGATAAATAAATAGGCAAGCACAACTGTACCCGTATTGCCATGAGTAGAGTTTTTAGACATCTCAAAAAGGGCTTGTATTGAGACGTCTTAAAAACGTGGTGGTAAGTGAATGAACAACAACGATGGTACTCGTATTGCCAGGAGTATTGGCAGCATTGTATGGTACTAGTGAGACGTCTCAAAGCAAGCACAATTGCATTCCCATTGCCATAAGGTGAAAGACAAAGCCATGTTCCATGCATTAAGTGACACGGAAGGCACTCTGGCATGGGTCGAAATGATTTCTATGAAGAAAAAATGACGTCATGACAAGGTGACGTCATGACCAGGGTGACGTCATCACGAAGGTAACGTCATGATTAGCATAGCAACCTACTACTGCACACAGTGACAGCAACAAGCTGGAACTGGCACGTATTTTTGTTAGCATCCTCAGGCCTTAGGATGCTAACAAAAATACGTGCCATACCAGGTCGAGACCATATGGTAAAATACTGGTTACGTGTCATACCAGGTCCGAACCATATGGTAAACACTGGTATCACTGATAATGCAGAGATTCTCCTGCTGAGCCTCTCCAACGGCCTGTTTGGACAGTGGCAAAAACAACGCCCTGTATAGACATTCGCCTGACCGACTCCATTTGTCTGAATTTTTTCAATCATGGCGCCCTCACCCTCTCAACCCCTCAACCCCTTTATTCTGTGGCAGACCAAAACCAGTTAGTATGGGCCACCGTCACTTCAAGTCTGACTTGCCTCCCTCCCCCTCACGCTCTCACCCTCTCACCCTCTCATTCTCTCACTCTCTCAGCCCCTCAACCTCAGCCCTTTGACCCTTTTCTTCTGTGACAGACCAAAAACAGTCAGTATGGGAAACCATCAAATCATGTCTGGGAAATTTCAAACCTGACTTGCCCCCTCCGCGCCTTATCCCCTCACCCACTCAACCCTCACCTCCACGACCCCTCAACCCCTTTCCCCTGTGGCAGACCAAAACCAGTCAGTATGGGGCACCATCATGGTTGGGAATGCCTCTTTCCCTCCCTCACCCCCTCACCTTCGCAATCCCTTGCACCCTGTCCCTCTTCTGTGGCAGACCAAAACCAGTCAGTATGGGGTACGATCATGTCATGTGAGTTGCTCCCACCACACTCCATGCTTAATTAACAACATGCTCCTGTGCATGTACCATGTGCCCCATCCGCATGTGCCCCATCCGCATGTGCCCATCCGCATGTGCCCCATCCGCATGTGCCCATCCGCATGTGCCATTGCGTAAATCTACCCCTCTGCCCCATCCCCATCATTCCTCCCATCCCCCTCATCCCTCTCATCCTCCTCATCCCTCCCCCCCCTCTTCCCCTCATCATTGCTCTCGCTCCCTGCTGCCCTCGTCTCCCTTCTACCTCTCAGTTTTCGATGCCAACAAGTCTTGATGGGGCACTAGCCACTCAACCCAAGGGCAGCAGGCGCCATTACATCATGCCTCACCACCACCAGCACGCCTTGACCAGCCCTTGACCAGTCTTGAGGTAGTCTTGACCAGCACGTAGTCTTGAGGTATCTCCGTTTAGCCCTGAGCATTGAGCTAGCCTGCTCAGCCCTTAGTTGCGTGCTCGCACCTGGTTGTGCTCTGCACTTAGTGTGTGGAAACCGCATGTGCTCTGCACCGCTGGCTCAGTAGCCTTGAGGGGGTAGGTATTAACTGCAAGCTAGCTAGCACTAGCTTCCTGCAACATTTCCCACAGGTTGGATTCGGAGAAGGTAGGATTTGGAGAAGGTTGGATTTGGAGGTGGTTGGATCTGGAAGCAGCAGTGGAGGTTATAAGCTTCGATTTCTGGAGCATGCAAGCAGGGTGCTGCTGGCACTACTGGCGTCTCTTGAGCTGCTTTGCAGAGCAACCGCCTTCACCACTGCAGTTTAGCTTGAAGGATGTTACCGCATATGGTGGAGCTTTGCGGGTGGATGCTTCAGTTGAATCTGTGGCAGTGGGGCTTCTGGTCCACCTCACATTTCACTAACCGCACATGCTCTGCTGACCCATAACCTCTTTTTGCATTTATCTTTGAGTTTATTTATCCTTCAAGTGACTTCATACATGCCCATGTTGTGATGAGCTGCTAACATAGTTGATAGGATTTATCTTGCTCTGAAAAATGTGTTGTCCAATTACCCTTACGGATATTATACCACTCTTCCCTATCAAACTAGGAAAGGAACCACTCGGAACCGCTGTGATTGTAACGTTGGGATTTTACCAGGAATCGCGTGGCGTGTTTCAGGAGCGAGGCACTGGCCGAGACGAAGGTTTGGCAGGCCAGGCATGAGCTGTTTGTTCATACGCATTATGAGTTTCTACAGCGATATAGATTTTAAGTCATGAAGCCGCGAAAATATTAACTGTCTGTCACTCAATAAATACTACGAACTAAATTCCCAAGCTACAAGATCATTCTGCTAGCAGTCATCTAGGCAAAGAACAATCACGCTACGTCTAAATAAAACCACTAGAAAAACTCATCCTCATGTCACTTGAAAATGTTTTTTCAAAAAGCCGCGGCTTTAGAGCTCGAGCTCCTTCTTGGTCTCTTCCAGCACATAGGCCACATGATCCCTCGCCTGCTCCGCCTCTTCATGTCACTTGAAGACCTTTTTCAGAAAGCCGCGGCTTTTCAGCTCCAGCTCCTTCTTCGTCTCTTCCAGCAAATGCGCCGTGTAATCCCTCGCCTGCTCCGCCTCCGCCCGCGCTTGCTCCGCAATCAACCTCCCCTTCTCCGCCTCCTTCCTCAGCCTCTCCTCCTCCTCCCTCAACCTCTCCGCCTCCTCCCTCAGCCTCTCCGCCTCCTGCTGCTTCCTCTCCGCCTCACTCCGCTTCCCCTCCGCCTCCTCCCGCCTCCTCACCGCCTCATTTCTCGCACTCTCAGCATCCAGCTTCGCGTTCACAGCCTCTAGCTTCACCCTCACAGCCTCCTCTTTCACCCCTTCCGCCTCATCTCTCCTCCGCTCAGACTCCTCCCTGGCCTTCTCAGCCTCGCTCCTCCTCCGTTCCGCCTCCTCCCTCGCCTTCTCAGCCTGCTGCCACTTCAACTCCGCATCGTCCCTCTGCGCTTCAGCCTCCGCCCTCGCTCCCTCCGCCTCAGCCTTCAGCCTCCCCAGCTCCGCATGCTCGTTCTCCGCAGCAGCTCTCGCCTCTGCTGCCTCTCCCAGAAGCGCAAGAGATTCCTGCAGACTGGCCCTCGCGGCCTGCTTTGCTTGCTCAGCCTCTTCCCTCCCCTCCTCTGCATCAGCCCGTAGACCATCTGCTTCCTCACGCAACTTCTCAGCCTCATCTCTCGCCCTCTCCGCTTCCTCCTTCGCCTGTTCCGCCTCCTGCTGAGCCTTCTCTGCAGCCTCCCTCGCCCTCACAGCCTCGTCTCTCTCCGCTTCTGCTGCCTCCCTCGCTTGCTCTGCTTCAGCCTGCTTCTGGTCTGCCTCTGCCTTGGCTTGCTCAGCCTGCTCCCGCTTCTCATCAGCCTCTGCCTTTGCCTGCTCTGCCTGCTCTCTCTTCGCATCTGCCTCCTCCTTCTCCATCACCGCCTGCTCCTTAGCTTCCACCGCCTCCTCTTTCCGCTGCTCTGCTTCTCTCTCCTTCCTCTCTGCTTCCGCCTGAGCCCTCTCCGCCTCTGCCTGTCTCGCTTCAGCCTCCTCCTTCGCCTCCTCCGCTGCCCTCCTCCCTTCCTCCGCCTCTCTCTGCTTCTCCTCAGCCTCCTGCTGCTTACCTTCAGCCTCAGCACGAGCCTTCTCAGCCTCCTCTCGCCTCTCCTCAGCATCAGCTCTCGCCTTCTCTGCTTCATCCCGAGCGCTCTCAGCTTCAATTCTCTTCCCATCAGCCTCCTCCTTCGCCTGCACGGCACTATCCCTCTCCTTCTCAGCCTCCTCCTGCTTCTTCTCAGCAGCTTCCTGAGCCTTCACAGCCTCATCTCTCCTCGCCTCCGCCTCCTCCTGCCTCTTCTCAGCCTCCTCTTTCGCCTGTTCAGCCTCCTCCTTTGCCCTCACAGCCTCGTCCCTCACCCTCTCCGCCTCCTCCCTTGCCTTCTCCGCATCCCTCATCCTCCCCTCCGCCTCCTCCTGTTTCCTCTCCGCCTCTGCCCTAGCCTCTTCAGCCTCTCCCTTTCTCATCTCAGCCTGCTCCCTCTGCTCCTCCGCCTCTCCCTGCTTCCTCAGGGCCTCTTCTTTAGCTGCTTCAGCAGCATCTCTCACCCTCTCTGCCTCCTCCCTCGCAGCCTCTGCTTCATCTCTCACCTTCTCTGCCTCAGCCTGCTTTGCCTGCGCCTCCTCCCTCGCCTCTTCAGCCACCTCCCTTGCTTTCACAGCCTCATCTCTCACCTTCTCCGCCTCGTCCCTCACCCTCTCCGCCTCCTCCTTTGCTCGCTCCGCCTCCCCTTGCCTCGCCTCCGCCTCTGTCTGAGCCTGCTCCGCGGCCTCCCTCCCCTTCTCCGCCTCCTCCTGTTTCCTCTCAGCCTCACCACGAGCGCTCTCCGCCTCTTCCTGCTTCCTCTCCGCCTCCTCTCTCGCCTTAACCGCCTCATCCCTCTCAGCCTCCGCCTCTGCTCGTGCCTTTTCAGCAGCTTCTTTGGCCTCTTCTGCCCGAGCCTTAGCTTCCTCCGCCTCTCCCTTAGCCTTCTCTGCTTCGTCTCTCTTCCCTTCCGCCTCCTCCTTCTCTCTCACAGCGTCGTCCCTTACCTTCTCCGCCTCCTCCTCCCTCCTCACCGCCTCGTCCCTCCGCCTCTCCGCCTCCTCCCTCTTCCCCTCCGCCTCCTCCCTCGCCCTTTCCGCCTTTGCCTGCTTCCTCTCCGCCTCCTCCCGCACACCCTCCGCCTCCGCCCTGGCAGCTTCCGCTTCCGCCTGAGCCTGCTCCGCTGCCGCCCTCCCAGCCTCCGCCTCCGCCTTGGCTTCCAAAGCTTCCTCCCTCCGCCTCTCCGCCTCCCCCTGTGCTGCTTCCGCCGCGCTCCTAGCAGCTTCCGCCTCCGCCTTGGCTGCCTCCGCTTCCGCCTTCGCCCCCTCCGCCTCCGCCTGAGCTGCTTCCGCCTCTGCCTGCTTCCTCTCAGCTTCAAACCGCCGCTCCTCCGCCTCCTCCCTCTGCTTCTCCGCCTCTGCCCGTTCCTTCTCAGCAGCCTCTCTCGCCCTCTCCGCCTCCTCTTTCTCCCGCTCCGCTTTCACCCGCGCCTCCTCCTCCGCCTGCCTTCTCTTCTCCGCCTCCGCTGCCCTCTCCTCCGCCTCCCCCTTCGCCTGTTCCGCCTCCTCCCTTGCCCTCTCCGCCTCCACCCGAACCCTTTCCGCCTCGTCTCTCTCCCTCTCCGCGTCTTCCTTCCGCCTCTCCGCCTCGTCACGCGCCCTCTCCGCCTCCTCCTTGCGCGTTTCAGCCTCATCTCGCCTCGCTTCAGCATCCTTCCGCGCCTCTACTGCCTCCTGCTCCCTCCGATCCGCCTCACTCCTTGCACTCTCCGCCTCAGCTTGCCTCCTCTCTGCTTCCTCTTTCCCCCTCTCTGCCTCCTCCCTCGCAGCCTCAGCCTCATCCTTGTCCCTTACAGCCTCTGCCCTCGCTGCTCCTGCCTCTTCTCTATCCTTCTCAGCTTGCGCCCTCGCTGCCTCTGCCTCCGCCTTCGCTGCCTCAGCCTCTTCCTTATCGTTCTCCGCTTGCGCCTTCGCCATTTCGGCCTCCGCGCGAGCGCTTTCCGCCTCGTCTCTCGCCCTCTCCGCTTCCGCCTTCGCCTGTTCCGCCTCCTCTCTCATCATCACAGCCTGCTGTCGCTCCGACTCCGCCTCCTCACGCGCCTTCTCCGCCTCCTCCTGCTTCCGCTCCGCCTCCTCTCTCGCCGCCTCCGCTTGCTCTTGCTTCCGCTCAGCCTCCGCGCGGGCCGCTTCCGCCTGCTGCCGCTGCGCTTCAGCGGCCTCCCTCGCTCGTTCCGCCTCCTCTTTCGCATCAGTAGCCGCGTCTCTTGCTTTCTCCGCCTCTTCCCTCGCCTTTTCAGCCTCCTCCTGTGCCGAAACAGCATCTTTAGCGGTATTCTCCGCTTCCTCCTTCGCTTTCTCAGCCTCCTCCCTCGCCGCTTCAGCTTGCAGCCGCTTCTCTTCAGCTTCCGCGCGCGCCTCTTCCGCTTCCGCCCTCCCCTTCTCCGCCTCCGCTTTCTCCCCTTCGGCTTCCGCCCTCGCCCGTTCCGCCTCCTCTTTCGCCGTGATAGCCTCCGCCCTCTGCGCCTCCGCCTCGTCTCGCGCGCTCTCCGCCTTCTCTTTCTCCGCCAAGGCTTCGTCCCTTTCCGCCTCCGCGTCCTGCTGTTTCTTCTCCGCGTCAGCTCTCGCATTTTCCGCGTCAGCAGCAGCGGCCTCAGCCGCCGCCCTGCTCACCTCCGCCTCCGCCTTCCCCGCCAGTGCCTCCTCCCGCGCCCTCTCCGCCTGCTCGCGCGCAGCTTCCGCCTCCTCCCTCCCCTTTTCCGCCTCCGCCTGCGCCCGTTCCGCCTCTTCCTTCTCCCCAACAGCCTGCTCCTTAATCTCCTCAGCCTCCTCTCGCTTCCTCAACTCCTCCTCCAAAACCTTCTGAAGCTCCGCTTTCTCTCCTTCCACTCCCTCTTTCAGCCTCAGCGCCTCATCTCGCTCCTGCTCGGCCTTCCTCCTCCCCTCCTCCGAGTCCCTACAAGCAGCCTCCACCAACTCATCCATGCTCGCTTCCACCTCTTCCTTCTCCCTCATAGCCTGCTCCTTCTGTAATTCCGCCTCTTCCTTCGCTTTCCTCGCCTCATCCCTTTCCTTTTCCGCCTCCTCTAGTCTCCTTTCTGCGTCCTCTTTCTCCTCTCGCACTTTCCCAATCGCTTCCAGTGCTTCTTTTTCCGAAGCCATGCGTTTCTTGTTATCCTTTGTAAGCTTCTCCACTTTCTCCTTTAAGCTGTCATGCACGAACTTATACTTGCCAAGATCCACCTCCATAGCCATAAATTTCTCCTCCATATCTTTCAACTCCTTATCCTTTGCGCCCATTGCGGCGCCACTCCCTCCAGCAATTTTGCTTTCCGCCAATTCTTTCCGCAGCTTCTCAATTTCTGCCTGCATTTCCCCAGCCGCATCCTCAGACACTCCACCTCTCTTCCATGAATCGATTTCTTTCGTCATCTGCCCGATCTGTTCCTTCGCTGCCTTTAACTCCGCTTGCATGTTCTCCATTTTCAGTCGCATGTCCATATTCTTTATTTTCAGCTGCCCGAGCTCCACTTCCAAAGCCACACTGGAGTCTTTCGAAGCTCCCGAACCTGCAGCACTGGGTCCGGTTCGGACTGACCCACTAGCACTGGGTCCCGTTCGGACCGACCCAGCCGCACTAGGTCCGGTCCGGACCGAGCCAGCAGCACTGGTTCCGGTTCGGCCCGAGGCAGCAGGTACGGGGACGGCTCCCCCAGACTGAACGGACTTGTGCCGGAAAGACGCGACTCTATCGGCGACACTAAGCTTAGCAGTGGTCTTTTTCTCTGGTAACCAGTCATCGTTAGATGACGCGCCATCTGCGAAACCATAGAATCGGACGAAGGTGAGACAAACGTGGATCACAGAAACAAGAGAACAGAAAAACTGCAGATCGTACCTTTTCCGGACATTGTTGCGAGTGCAATAGACGGTTTCCAAGATGCTATTGGTGCTTCAGGTAGTAAAATTGACCGCCAATGCCGTTGCCGGATTCGGAAAGAAGATATTAGATTAAAAGGAAGGTTGGGAAAGAAGGAATAAATAAAGAGGGGTCTTCAACTACGTAGTCGATATCTAAAAACCCTGTGACGTCAAGGTTGCAAAGTGTCTCAGAACATTAGTCCATAATGTACGACGAAAAGCGGCATTAGCTATTCCCGCCGCACATCATTCTTGACTGCAGTTCCGGCGGATTTGGAAACGAACGGATGGAAGGTAACCAGGGAATTGACAGTCCCTAGGTGAGCCTAACAATTCAGGGGTAATGCCGAGATGGATGAATTGCTTGACGTTGAGACGTTGAATGGAGCGAAATAGCTCCCCTATGATTTGGTCTGGGGCGAAACGCAACCCCAACCGATGTCTGCTGCCTCTAGGTTGCTACCAACAAGATTTCGGTTGGGTTCGGTGGGCAGGCTGGAAGGCGGTACGGTACGGGAAGGTATGGACGGGACGGGAGTTTGGTTTGGAATAGCCTCTACTTCTTGACATGGAAGGTTTGTCGTGTGGTGGTGGGTGACTGGTTCGGCACGTCGAGCCTAGCACCCTATCAGCATGCCACGTTCGGCTGCCACTGGGCTCCGAGACCACACTTCAACCAGCGATGGAGTACGTGGAAAAACGAAGTTCCTTTCAGAGTTGCTAATGTAAGAGCAGGGATGTTTCATAAACGAGAGTGTAGATACTCTGTAGCTATCACATTTTAAGGCATATGCCGTTCAACGGCAACCGCCACGTCACCAATACGCTCAATTTTTGCTCTGAGGGGGCTATGGCCGCTTCGGTACTTCCCAGGCCGTTTCCGTGCCTCCAACAAACCTCGCTTCGCTCTGACTCAAAAGGTACCCGCCAACGATTCAGCCTCTCTGTACCTATCTGCAGAGAGCGTCACCAGGTCTCACCGTAAGCACGTCCTAGCAAGACCTGTTAATCTGGCTCGGAAGCATCACAACAAGCTGGTTCGGTTAGTCGCGCCGCCAATTGCAAGACATCTGGACATTGATTGATGGCAATCCGTCACACCACGAGAATTGTGCTGCACGCGACGACTATCTCTTCAGCCCTCTTTCGTGTCTGGTCCCTGCTCTCGAGCTCCAACTTACTCCTGCACGGAGTTTGCAGTACTCAACACTGGATGTTCTTGGCGACACCATACTCGCAACGTTCTTCGCAGTACCAGAGCGGGCATGAGTTGTGCAGTTTGGAAGTAGAGCAGCCGCCGTGATCCAGGCAACTATGTCGGGTTTGCAATAGAAACTAAGTTTAGCTTACAGCGGGTTCAGTTTGCCTACTTACTTTCGTGACTCCCTCGTCCCCATCTACGTATATTATTCGGAAACGCCTAGGGTATAACAGCCGTCGCCCATCGGTTCTGTATAGAATATAGTGCGTAATGGCAGTCAACGTTACCCTCTCGGAACCAGAACGAGCAGCTCTCGCCAACAAGATGGACTATCTCAAACGTCTCCATAACGCTGACGACGAGGACGACAGTAACGAGGATGATTCCGACGAGGGATCAGGCGAAAGCAGGATAATCAGGCGGGAACCGATCAAGAGCAGCGATAGCAGCAGCGGCGAAGGTTCCGATGACGGAACAAACAGCTCTGACGACGGCGGCTCCAACGACGGCACTTGCGGCGACACTTCCGGTAACGGCACTAGCGCTGACGCTCCCGTCGGTTCGGCCGAGCCTGGCCCAAGCCCTGCCGCGTCCACGACCCGGTTCGGCGAAAGCGGCGGGTTCACCTTCAGTCGAGACTACTTCAACGCGCTGTCAGCGGCTCGCGACGCCAGCAGCAGCAGCAGCACCAGCCGGCGATCAAGTCTAGGCTCGTCTTTGGCCGCGAAACGGGAGAAGCAGGTGGAGAGCCGATTCTTGGAAATCGAGATGCAGAGTCGGTCGTCGGTCGAGTCTTCCCAGACTGCTGGCGCGCATGACTGGCGCGCGGCTCTCAAATCCCGGGGCCGTACTTTCCAGACAGCGAAGCAAGACTGGGGCGCGAAGCAGGAGCAGCAGCAGCGGGTGGAGAGTCGCGAGGGGGACTTGGACGCCGGCAGGTTCACAAGCGGAAACGGGCCGTCGGAAACCGGCAGCAGGTTTTCCGTGGTGAGCAAGGGGATGTTACACGACAAACTCTCGTCTTTTGACGGCAACGGTTCAGCGCTTGATGCGGCGTACAACGCGGCGGCGCCGTCGCAAAGCGAGCGCGAGGCTTGTGAACGGCGCGCTGATAGCTCCGCAGGCTCCGCGTTGGAGGAGGTGCGACGCGTGGAGCGGAAGATTGAAGCCATGGAAGCAATGGAAGCCAAGCAAAGGAAATTTGGACTGGATTGCGCTCCTGAGTCGGAGCGGGCGGTTGATGCTGATCCGTCTCTCGACTCGAACGCCGTCGAACGTAAAAGGGAAGCCATGAATAGCACTATCGAGTCGCCTGAGTTGCTGAACAAAGCGGCCATGGAACGAGCGATAGAAGCCATGGAACGAATCGGCGCGAGTGGCGGCGGGGATGGCGGAGGTGGAGGGGACGAGGGAGCTGGGGGAAAAGCCGGTGAGGGGGAAAGCGGAGATGCGGAAGAGGGGCGGCCGCGGGGGAGGGGGAAGGACGTGGCGGAACTTGAGAAGGAGGTTGAAGAGGCGAAGCAAGCATCGCACCGCATAGCCGTTATGTTCTACCAGCAAGACCAGGAAAGTAAAGACCTAAGAGAGAATCACCTGGCGCTCCAGGAGGACCACAAGCGGATATCGGTTCAGTTACAAGCGGCGCAGGCGGAGACGGATGAGCTGTGGAACCAACTGGCGGCGGCGTCCCGCCAGAAGGAGGCGGCGGAAGCGACGGCGGCGGAACTGCGCCTGAAGATCCGCATGCTCGCGGGGAACGTGGAGGAGCTGGAGGAGGAAGCGGAGGCCGCCGGGGGGTGGGGCGGCGGGGGGAGAGGCGGAAGCGGAGGCGGAGGCGGAGGCGGAGGTGGGGGAGGGGGTGGCGGAACGACTGCCGTGGAGGGGGTGAGCAGTTTAGAGTCTGATTTGGTGGGCTTGCGGAAACTGAAGGAGCTGGAATGGGAGTTAATATCCGCGCGAAGCGCGCGCGACCGCGCTATGACCGTCTTGGCGGGAATGAGAGAGGAGTGGAATAATCTCCGCAAACTGCGCTTGCAGCTAGACGCGCTGACGGCTAGCAGGGAGGTTGTCGGCGGTTCTGCCGGCGCCAACGGCGGCCGCGGTGCTCATGCGACGGACCGCGCAGCCAGGGGGAAACTTGCCGGGGAAGACGTGCGGGGAAGGGCATATGGGGGAACGAGACGGGGGGAGGAGGACACAGGGGAAGCGGGAGGGGAGGAGCTGTTGAAGGGAGTGGAGGCGGAAATTGCGGAGGAGGCGGACAAGTGGCGGAAGGTGGTTGGTCAGCTGCAGGAGGATCACGTGCGCGCAGTCGTGGAGGCGCAAGATGCGGCGGAGAAATGCGCGAGCGCGCGGAGGCAGGCGGAAGCCGCCACTGAAGAAGCGATGCGGCTCAGGCGGGATATCGAGCGCGTAAGAGAGGAGAAGACTATAGCGGAGGAGGATCTGAGAGATTTCCGTAAAGGATGGAAAGACCTGGCCGGACATTTAGAGACGTTTGCCGCTAAGGTGAGCGAAATGGATGCGGAATTAGCGGTGAAGAGAAAGGAGAGGGAAGTGATGGCGATTGAGATCGAACGGTCCGCGAAAGAGCGCGATCTGATTGCTGTGGAGATCGGACGGGTGAGAAAGGAGCGAGATTTTATGTCGGTGGAGATCGAACGGCTGCGGAAGGATCGCGATCTGATGGCGGATCGAACGGCTGAGCAAAGAGCGAGATTTTATGGCGGTGGAGATGGATCGGCTGGGCAAGGAGCGCGCGGAGGCGGAAGAATCGGCGGAACGGGCGCGGGCGGAGATGTGGGGGGAGCGGGAGAAGCGGCTTGGGGAAGTGCAAGAAGCGGAGGAAAAAGCGCGGCGGATTCGCGAACGCGCGGGGAACGCGTTAGAAGCATACGCGGAAGAGAGAAAAGAGATCGAGAACATGTTACTGCACCGAGTGCAAACCTTACAATCGGCGGTGGAGGAATTGCAAGGGCAGCTTGATGACGTGCAAGGCGCGAAAACCAGGCTCGCGCACGCCGCGGGGGCGTTCATGCGGGAGTTTCAGTACACTGGCGCAGGGGGAGGGGGAGGAGGGGGCGGAAGCGGAGGGGGAGCGGAAGGAGGGAGGTTTCGGGAGGCAGCAAACGAGTATTACGGGGAAGGCGGGGGTTCCAGGGGAATAGGCGCAGGGCGGGCCTTTTTGGATGATGCGGGAGGGAGGTTGGGAAGTCTTGGCCCTCCATCTACTGGCGATGGCTTGGGGTTCAAGATTGGACGGTCATTAGAGCAGGGCTTGTCTGGGCGGCAGATAATTGAAGAGCTGGATTATCTGTCTGATGGGGGAGGCTTGGGAGGTGGCAACGGAGGCTCGGCAGGCTGCCGAGCCTCTGGTGCAGGTCGGGATGAGACGGTCCGAGGCATGGCTGGGCAGCGAAGTGTCGGGTCAAGAAGTGGTGGGCGAGGGGCGATGGGGATGACAGCAGCAGCAGCAGTGACTGGTGTAGACTATGGAACATCATCCGCAGGGGGTCATTCTCATGTTTCTGCTAATGCTGGTGGTGCTGGTGCAAGGAGGTGGAGTGCAGCAGCAGAGCTTGAGCACGCTTTACAGGCAGATCGAGGCAGCGGTGGGGGTGGTGTTATCGATGATGACGTGAGGTCAACACGCAGTGGGGGCAGCTCAAGACGGACCTACGGCGGAGGAGGGGGAGGTGGAGGAGGGACAGGAGGAGGAGTAGGAGGAGGGTATGGTGGTGGTGGTGCGGGGGGAGGGTTGCAGGCGAGGACTCCGAGGGAGAGTGCACGGGCTGGCGTGTTTTCAGACACATATGCTGCTCCGCGTTCAGGTACGGCCTTTCTTTTATCATTCTACCCTACATCCCGCTGCCATTCTCGATTGCACTTCGTTTTTCATTTCCTCCCCTCCTCACCACCTGCTTTTTCAGTAGCCAGCTTCACTTCTTGCCTCTAAATCCTTATTAATACCCTATCCTCCCTTCCCCTCCCCCACCCTGTCCTGTTCTCATTCCTCCCCAGCATCACGAGGCAGGGGCGGTCTGCGTGGTTCCCTGGATGAAGACGATGGTGCCGATGCTGTTTCAATTGCCACTTCGATTCGTCGGGAGAGAGAACGGGAGCGAGAGCGGGACCGAGACCGCAGCACCGAGTATCTGCAGCAGTGCGATCGTGAGCGTCGATTTCGAGATGAGAGGGAGGACGACGACAGGATCTCCGTCCATGCTCTGGAGAAGTATGCACCGAACCTGGCTCGTAGTTTGAACGTTGGCGGCATTGCATCTTCGGGAGTAGCTGGAGGCAGTAGGCGTGGGGTTGACGACGATGAAGATGCCAGGAGTGTTAGCAGTCGGAAGTCGTGTATCTCAGGTGCTTCGAGGGGAAGCAGGTACTCCACCAGTTCATCTGGTGGTGCTGCAACAGCGGCAAGAGGAAGGACAGGAGTGGGCGGTGCTACTAGTTTCGTGTCTCAGAGGGATCATTCAACTCTCTACTAGTGGAGTGACACGTGCTCACGAAGTCCAGACAACATGTAGGTATTGTTCGGATAATCTAGTATGTGTGCCTGCATCCTGTTTTGTATATATTTTTTTTTTTTTGGATTAGGGCCACTTGAGACAACCATGTGAGAGCAATTATATTGTTCTGCTATGGCATTGTAATATTTCCATTCCGCTTTAAAAACCATTGTATGTTTATGGGGCAGCTCCGGCGCGTATAATTTGGACATTCAAATTGAGACTTCAAGGTCACGCAGCCCTCGCCTAACCATATCATTCGCCGGTTCGGCAAACCGAACCTCACGTTCAAATTTCGAGACACGCGGCTCGTTTTCCCGCCACGCATGGCCGCGGTTTCTCTAACAGCCACCATGCCGAGCCGAACCACCCACCAGCGCCGAACTGGCGGTCGAGTCTTGTGGCTGTGCTTTGACCCTTGCCTCGCCGTGTGGTATGGTTGCATCCCCTTTGTTTTCTCAACTATCTCCATCCAAGCCCTTGGGATTTGGTTGTGAGCAAGTTTCCAGGTTTCACGATTCTACCATCCCAAGACTGAGCAGCTTTCCTGGAAAAGGCAAGAGTCTTACGTGAAATTATAATTTATAGGGGAATAGCCGGATTGCTACTTCGGGCTGTGGTAGTCGATTCGCATTTATGTAGAAAAAACGTATGCTCTTTTGCGCCCTCATTCGTAGCCTTGCAGCTTAGAACAGGAAACAGAAGTCGAGTATGGCGGGCGATTCAAGTGATGATGAGGTAAGTCACAGTACGGATAGCTCACTAGATTTTTCTTTATTTGTTAGCATCTTGACCTACGATTACTGAACCTACCTTCGCTGTTTTGCTGGATCGCAGTATATCCCGGAGGAGGCGACCGCATCAGCTAAGAAGCGTAAGGCCCCGAGCAGCACTCCACGGACCACTAAAAAAGCACCTCGCACCACCGCCGCTTCGCCAGCAATCCCGTTACCTTCCGCTGGCGGACCCCCATTTGTAGAAACCCCCAACGCCGTCGGCCCAGATGGGAAGACGATCGAGGAGACTTATCAGCGCAAGACGCCGCTAGAGCACGTGCTCCTCCGCCCGGACACGTACATAGGCTCGGTGCAGACGCACGTCGGTCCGCAGTGGGTTTGGGAGCAGGGTCGGATGGTACACCGCGAGGTTCGGATGGTTCCGGGGCTGTATAAGATATTTGACGAGATTCTGGTGAATGCGGCGGATAACAAACAGCGCGACCCGAGCATGGACGCGATTAAAGTGACCATCGATACCGCCAAGAATAAGATCCAGGTTACTCGTGTTGTACTGATTAGTCCGTGACGCTGAGGCCGTTGTCATTAGTCACTGACGAGCGATGTGTATCGTTAGACCGCTAGTCGGGGGACCTACATCTTTGGGCTTGTCTGAGCACACTCTGCTCATGCATTGTTTTGAGACATCTCAAAACGCGTTTGAAGTAGTGTTTTGAGACGTCTCAAAACGCTAGTCAGAGGACCTACATCTTTGTGCTTGTCTGAGCACACTCTGCTCATACATTAAGTTAGTATCTAGCCTCATTTGTACTGCATAACTGTGGGTATGCGTATATAGACTATCTCCGGCCGCATTCTCGCCGGATGTTCTTATCGTCGTGCATGCGTGTCAAGCAACGGGAGAGGGATGTTTTCAAAGGTCCTCCTAAGGGAGATAGATTTCGTTTTGAGATACACCATGCGTCTTAAATTTACCCGTCCCTGGATCTCCCCGCAATTGTGGAACAACGGCCGGGGAATCCCTGTGGAGGTGCACGCGAACGAGGGGTGCTACGTGTCGGAGCTGATCTTCGGGCACCTGCTGCTTGACCTGCGAAATATCTTTGACTTGTACACTACATTGTTTATGCACATTGCCTGGTCACTCCAGGTGTGGAACAACGGCAGAGGCATTCCCGTGGAGGTACACGCGAAGGAGGGGTGCTACGTGCCGGAGCTGATCTTTGGACACCTCCTCACGAGCAGCAACTACGACGACTCGGCGCGCAAGACCACGGGCGGACGCAACGGGTACGGCGCGAAGCTGGCGAACATATTTTCGACCGAGTTTGTGGTGGAGACGGCCGACGGCAGCCGGCAGAAGAAGTACAAGCAGGTACGCGCGCAGGTAGAGAACTCTTGGGTAACAAAAGCGGTACGGCGCGAAGCTGGCCAACATATTTTCGACCGAGTTTGTGGTGGAGACGGCCGACTGCAGCCGGCAGAAGAAGTACAAACAGGTGCGCAGCGCATGCAGGTTTGATAGTGTGGGCGATGAGGTTGGTTGGATGATGTCACTGACCAGAACTCTTGAGTCAATTGGAACGTCGATCATAATGTTTCTCTGCCTTTCCAGATGAATTGAAGTCTGGTTGATGAGGCTGGGATGCTGCTGCCTGTCTGTAAGCCCCCGGGGATCAAGCAGGTCCTTTAGCTACACCCTTGAGCCGCATTACAAGCCTGTTTGGAATTCCGCAGCGCTAGCCACCGCCTTTGGGCGTGTTACAAGCCTGACTAGAAAGCTCCCAGTGTCTTTGGAAGACTAGCCCAGTGCCACTTTTACTCCAATCTGCCTCTGCCTTTCCTTCATCCCCTGCCAGGTCTTTTCAAAGAACATGAGCGTCAAGAAGCCGCCAGTGATCAAGGACTGCAAGCCCACCGACAACTTCACCTCCATCACCTTCCACCCGGACTTGGTTTCTTCATCCGCTTCCCCCTTCTTCCCCTGCCTCTACCATCTTCCTGTTTATCTCACCAGGTCTTTTCGCAGAACATGAGCGTCAAGAAGGCCCCAGTAATCAAGGACTGCAAGCCCACCGACAACTTCACATCCATCACCTTCCACCCGGACCTGGCCAAATTCGGCCTCGCCTCTCTAGACGCTGACCACGTGGCACTCATGAGCCGACGTGTCGTTGACGTGGCAGGGTGCCTGGGGAAATCCGAGAAGGTCACGCTGAATGGTACCCTTCTTCCGTTGCCTTTCCCTCTCCCTGTCCCCCTGACCAGGTCTTTTCACAGAACATGAGTGTCAGGAAACCACCAGTAATCAAGGACTGCAAGCCCACCGACAATTTCACCTCCATCACCTTCCACCCGGACCTGGCCAAATTCGGCCTCGCCTCTCTAGACGCAGACCACGTGGCACTCATGAGCCGACGTGTCGTTGACGTGGCAGGGTGCCTGGGTAAATCCGTGAAGGTCATGCTGAATGGCACCCGCGTGCCTGTGAAATCGTTTGCGGATTACGCGGGGTTGTATCTTGCTCCTCCCCCGCCGCCCACCCCGCAAGCCCCTGCCACTCCGCCGTCGTCAGGGGAAGGGGGGAGCGGAGAGGGGGAGGGGGCAGGGGCGGAAGGAGGAGTGTCTGCAGCAGAAGCGGCAGCAGCAGCAGCAGCAGCTGCTGCTCACCCTTCGACTCATGAGAAGCTCCCAAGGTCTGTGTCTCCATGATTACGTTTTGAATAATCTGTTACGAGATTGCTCTTGCGGTCATCCGAGGATTGACGCGCGGGTAGCTCTCTCTGACATACTGCTTTATAAGTTTAATAAGTTTCATCGCCATTTATGATCTTACGATGGAATTGTACACCCGAAGCTTCGTCTATGATCCACCCTCATCCTCAATAGCTGCTGTGTGACTCTGCAGGATCCACGAGAGGGTGAATGACTGCTGGGAGGTGTGCGTGTCTACGAGCGATGGGCAGTTCCAACAGGTATTGCCCATGGGAAGGGGAAGGGAGGGGGGAAGTGTGTGTGTGTGTGTGCGCGCGCGTGTGCGTGTGCGTGTGCGTGCGTGTGTGTGTGTGTGTGTGTGTGTCTGTGTGTGTGTGTGTGTGTGTGTGCGCGCGCGCGTGTGTGTGTCTCCTTGCCTGGCATTAGCCAGCTCCAAGCCTGAGCCCGAGCCTGATCCCGTGCCTGTTCCCATGCCTGCAGGTCAGCTTCGTGAACGCCATCGCGACCACACGGGGAGGCACGCACGTGAACATGGTATCAGAGCAGATCGTGCGGTACCTGCTGGACAAGGCGCAGAAGAAGGCTGCCACTGGCAAGCACGGGTCCGCCAGTGGCGCTGCTGCCATCAAACCCCACCAGGTGAGGCTTTGGGAAAATAAGGGGGGTATTGGGATAGGATTGAACAGGGATAGCGAGTGAGATGGAGGATTGGGGTTGGGGAGGGGTTGGACGGGAGAGCGAGTGAGAGTGGGATAGTGGAAAGCAACGCATGAGAGGTGCAGAAGCAGAGTGCAGATCGTGAGGTACCTGCTGGACAAGGCGCAGAAGAAGGCCGCCACTGGCAAGCACGGGTCCGCCAGTGGCGCTGCTGCCATCAAACCACACCAGGTGAGCACGGGCAGAGGGGGATGAGGGGGGGAGGGGGGGGAGGGGAGCGATTGGGAAAGTGATTTATGCGTGTGGCTCGATGGCAGCAATGTGCAGCTGCCTGATGCCTGCTTGCCTAGTGGCTGCTCTGAGATGTCTAAATGCACTTCCTTCGTTTCAATCCCCCTTCCCCTGCCTCCCCTTATCCCCACATCCCCCCTCCACAGGTGCGCAGTCAGCTGTGGGTGTTTGGGAACTGACTGGTGGTGAACCCGGTAGTTGACTTGCAGACCAAAAAGTCGCTCAGCACACGCCCCTCTGTGCTATATCTGCACCATCTGTTGCTTGCTTATGCCCCTCCCCCTTTCAGGTGCGCAGTCAGCTGTGGGTGTTTGTGAACTGCCTGGTGGTGAATCCAGCCTTTGACTCGCAGACCAAGGAAACGCTCAACACACGCCCCTCTGACTTTGGCTCCAAGTGCCACCTCTCGGAAGACTTTCTCAAGAAAGGTATGCTGATTTTCAAGGCCCCTTAAAAGAGTTTCTTAAGAAAGGTGTTCTGATTTGCAAGAGATGGGAATTGTGAGGTGCCTCTAAAGACGCTCAACACACGCCCCTCTGACTTCAACTTTGGCTCCAAATGCCACCTCTCTGAAGAGTTTCTCAAGAAAGGTATGCGGATATTCGTTGGAAGGGAAGGGATCGTGAGGTGCCTCAGAATATTGTGGGAAAGGCTCAACGCACGCCCCTCTGACGTTGGTTCCAAGTGCCACCTTTCTGAGGCAGCTCTCATCTGTGAGGCATTGTGAAGCATCTGCTGAGATTGTGGGATCATGGGATTGTGGGATTGTGAGGTGCCACAGAAAGGTTCCAAGTGCCACCTTTCTGAGGCAGCTCTCACCTTCTCTTTGCAACCCCCCTAACTCGAATTCTCTCCCCTCTTCCACCACGTATCTTTCCCCCTTCCCACACACCCGTGGCTTCAAAGTGCGGCATAGTGGAGCATCTACTATCCTTAGTGGCACGCAAGCAGACCAAGGATCTGAAGCGCAGCGACTGCAGCAACGGAGGCTTCAAGAGAGATCGTTCTCTCCTCTTTCCACCACCCTACTTATCTCCTCTCCTGCCTGCCCCTTTCCCACACACCAGTGGCTGCCAAGTGCGGGATAGTTGAGCATCTGTTGTCGCTAGCGGCACACAAGCAGACCAAGGATCTGAAGCGCAGCGATGGCAGCAAGAGGCAGCGCGTGTCGGGCATAACGAAGCTGGACGATGCTAATGAAGCTGGTGGCAGGAATGCAGAGCACTGCACGCTCATCCTAACCGAAGGGGACTCTGCCAAGACTTTGGCGGTGAGATTTGCTTGGTTTCTAGCCTGGGAGGGTGGGAAGAAAACTGGGGGATGTGAAGTGAAGGGAAGGAGGAGGCAGTGCGTGTTGGGCATAGTGAAGCTGGACGATTCTAATGAAGCAGATGGCAGGAATGCGGAGCACTGCACTCTCATCCTCACTGAAGGGGACTCTGCCAAGACTCTGGCGGTGAAATTTGCTTGGTTTCTAGCCTGGGAGGGTAGGAAGAAGACTGGGGGATGTGAAGTGAAGGGAAGGAGGCAGCCCGTGTCGGGCATAGTGAAGCTGGATGACGCGAATGAAGCTGGTGGCAGGAATGCAGAGCACTGCACCCTGATACTGACGGAAGGGGACTCTGCCAAGACTCTTGCGGTGAGAGAGTCACTTTGGTTGTTTCAGGGTGGGTAGGAAGAAAGAGGGGGGGGGGGGGGGGGGGGGGGGGGGGGGGGGGGGGGGGGGGGGTATGGGGGTGAAGGTGGAGGCAGCACGTGTCGGGCATAGTGAAGCTGGATGATGCCAATGAGACAGGCGGCAGGAACGTGGAGCAATGCTCTTGGATCTGGGTGTGCGTTTCGGCTAGTACTGCCTGTTTCCCTTGCGAGTTGCACTGTTAAACATGAATGATGCGTCTGTAAAAATGGCAACGAACTCATCCTTTTCTCACTTCCTCCGTGGCTCCCTCCGTCCCTCCCCCCAGGTGTCAGGGCTGAGCGTTGTGGGCCCGTGATCGCTACGGCGTGTTCCCCTTGCGAGGCAAGCTGCTGAACGTGAGGGACGCATCCCGCCGGCAGATGATGGAGAATACGGAGATCGGGTATTCTTGAGAATTGCTTTACAACATTCCTGCCCTCTCACCTTCACACCCTCCCTCCCTATCCAGGTGTCAGGGCTGAGTGTGGTGGGTCGCGACCGCTACGGCGTGTTCCCCTTGCGAGGCAAGCTGCTGAACGTGAGGGATGCATCGCACCGGCAGATGATGGAGAACACAGAGATCGGCCATCTGAAGCAGATCCTGGGGCTGCAGCACGGCAAGAACTATGAGAGCGTGAAGGCTTTGAGATACGGACACCTGATGATCATGACTGACCAGGTGAGTGAGGGGTGGTGTGTGTGTGTGTGTGTGTGTGCGCGCGCGCGCGCGCGCGTGTGTGTGTGTGTGTGTAAGGGTGGCGGTAAGGGATGCGTTGCATAGGGGGTGAGGTCAGGGTTCAGGGTATGGGTTTGGGGTTCAGCTTTTTTGTTGTAGGGAAATCCTATCTTCTCCCCTCCCTCACCTACATCCCTCGCCCATGCCCATCCCACCCATCAGGACCACAATGGACCCACCCATCACATCAAGGGCCTTCTCATAAACCTCCTGCACTCCTGCTGGCCGTCCCTGCTCAAGCACCCCTCCTTCCTTCACGAACTCGTCATGACTCACACCCATTCTTCTCTCCCACCTTCCCTCCCGCGCATGCCCATCCCCCTATCCAATCCACCAGGACCATGACGGGTCCCACATCAAAGGTCTTCTCATAAACCTCCTGCACTCGTGCTGGCCCTCCCTGCTCAAGCACCCCCTTTCCCCCCGCAAATTCATCTCGACTAACACATCATTCTTCTCTCCCACCTTTCTCTCCCGCCTATTCCCATCCCACCCATCAGGACCATGACGGGTCCCACATAAAAGGTCTTCTGATCAACCTCCTGCACTCGTGCTGGCCGTCCCTGCTCAAGCACCCCTCCTTCCTGCGCGAATTCATCACCCCGATCGTCAAAGCCACCGGGCCCAGGGGCCGCACCCTCGCCTTCTACACCATACCTGAGTACGAGGCTTGGAAACGAACCTTAGGCTCGGACGCGAGGCAGTGGAAGGTGAAGTACTACAAGGGTCTGGGCACGAGCACGCCCAAGGAGGCAAAGGAGTATTTCACACAGCTGGACCGGCACAGGAAGGACTTTGAGTGGCGAGGGGAGGGCGACGGGGAGCGGATCGAGATGGCGTTCAGTAAGAAGGCGGTGGATGCAAGGAAGCAGTGGCTGCGGTCGTATGAGGTGAGCTGAGAGGGTGTGAAAGAGTGCAGGAGGGACGGATTGGGTGGGGGAGGGGGATCGAGAGAGGATCGAGATGGCGTTCAGTAAGGAGGCCGTGGTGGATGCCTGGAAGCAGTGGCTGCGGTCGTATGAGGTGAGCGGAGGGGTACGAAAAGGGAATTGTGAAAGCGGGGTGTGAAAGAGTGCAGGAGGGACGTGGGTGGGGGAGGGCGATGGGGAACCGATCGAGATGGCGCAAGGCCATGGATTCCTGGCAGCAGTGGCCGCTGACACACCCATCGTCTCTCCCTCCCTCCTTTCCCATCCTCCAAATCCCCTGTTCCCCCGTTTCTTGCATCCCTTCGCCCCTCCCATCACCCTTCATCCATGCCGCCAGCCGGGCACGTACTTGGACCAGACGGCGCAGCGCATCAGCTATAGTGACTTTGTGGACAAGGAGCTCATCCTCTACTCGCTCGCTGATAACATGCAATGCGCTCCATCCCCTCCATTGTTGACGGGCTGACCCCATACAGCTGACCGTGGGAACTTGTCATCACATCCTTCCCTTCTCCTCCCCTGGGTCTTTCCTCCCACGTCCTGTGCCTTGCCCTGTGCCATTCCTCCCCTCACAGCCCGGCACATATCTCGATCAAACAGCGCAGCGCATCAGCTACAGCGACTTTGTGGACAAGGAGCTCATCCTCTACTCCATTGCTGACAACATGCGCTCCATCCCCTCCGTGGTGGACGGCTTAAAGCCGGGGCAGAGGAAGATCCTGTTCTCGTGCTTCAAGCGCAAGCTGCATTCAGACATCAAGGTGGGTGGGTGGGATACATGCGTGCATGCATGCACGACTCTAGATGGGGCTTTGTGACTGCATTCAGACATTAAGGTGGGTGGGATCAACTCCAGGTGGGCCTCTGTGGACAAGGAGCTCATCCTCTACTCCATTGCTGACAACATGCGCTCCATCCCCTCCGTGGTGGACGGCTTAAAGCCGGGGCAAAGGAAGCTCCTGTTCTCGTGTTTCAAACGCAAGCTGCATTCAGACATCAAGGTGGGCGGGATACATACATACATGCATGCATGCATGCACGACTCTAGGTGGGGATTTGTGACTGCATTCAGACATCAAGGTGGGTGGGATCAACTCCAGGTGGGGCTTTGTGGACAAGGAGCTCATCCTCTACTCCATCGCTGACAACATGCGCTCCATCCCCTCCGTGGTGGACGGCTTAAAGCCGGGGCAGCGCAAGATACTGTTTTCCTGCTTTAAACGGAAACTGCATTCAGATATCAAGGTGGGTGGGCGCTGTTGCATGACCTGCAGTGCATGCACAGCCCTAGATGGGGCTTTGTGGACAAGGAGCTGATTCTCCACTCCATTGCTGAGACAACATGCGCTCCATCCCTTCCGTCGTTGATGGGCTGAAGCCAGGGCAGAGGGAGATCCTGTTCTCGGATATCAAGGTGGGTGGGTGCTGTGGGGTGCTGTGGCATGACCTGCAGCGCATGCATGCACTAGCCGTCCTTCCCTCAAGGACATGCTTGTGCAGCGCGGCGCTCCTCATCAGCTGCTGAAAGAGCACACTTGCTGGGGATGTTTGGATGGCATCGCCTGGCAGACAAGATGCGTTCAATCCCCTCTGTGCATACCGCCATGGGGAGCAGAGAGTCTGGTAGTCACTGCTAGCCCAAACCCCCGTTCTTCCTTCTTCACCCTTCTCTCTGTGAGCAGGTGGCGCAGCTGGCAGGGTATGTCTCAGAGCATGCGGCATACCACCACGGCGAGCAGAGTCTGATGAGCACCATTGTGAACCTCAACCTCCTTTCCTCCCCCCGTACTTCCCCGTGCCTCCTTTCTATCTGTGTCTGTATGCAGGTGGCGCAGCTGGCAGGGTACGTGTCGGAGCATGCGGCATACCACCACGGCGAGCAGAGTCTGATGAGCACCATTGTGAACCTCAACCTCCTTTCCTCCCCCCGTACTTCCCCGTGCCTCCTTTCTATCTGTGTCTGTATGCAGGTGGCGCAGCTGGCAGGGTACATGTCGGAGCATGCGGCATACCACCACGGCGAGCAGAGTCTGATGAGCACCATTGTGAACCTCAACCTCCTTTCCTCCCCCCGTACTTCCCCGTGCCTCCTTTCTATCTGTGTCTGTATGCAGGTGGCGCAGCTGGCAGGGTACGTGTCGGAGCATGCGGCATACCACCACGGCGAGCAGAGTCTGATGAGCACCATTGTGAACCTCAACCTCCTTTCCTCCCCCCGTACTTCCCCGTGCCTCCTTTCTATCTGTGTCCGTATGCAGGTGGCGCAGCTGGCAGGGTACGTGTCGGAGCATGCGGCATACCACCACAGCGAGCAGAGTCTGATGAGCACCATTGTGAACCTCAACCTCCTTTCCTCCCCCCGTACTTCCCCGTGCCTCCTTTCTATCTGTGTCTGTATGCAGGTGGCGCAGCTGGCAGGGTACGTGTCGGAGCATGCGGCATACCACCACGGCGAGCAGAGTCTGATGAGCACCATTGTGAACCTCAACCTCCTTTCCTCCCCCCGTACTTCCCCGTGCCTCCTTTCTATCTGTGTCTGTATGCAGGTGGCGCAGCTGGCAGGGTACATGTCGGAGCATGCGGCATACCACCACGGCGAGCAGAGTCTGATGAGCACCATTGTGAACCTCAACCTCCTTTCCTCCCCCCGTACTTCCCCGTGCCTCCTTTCTATCTGTGTCTGTATGCAGGTGGCGCAGCTGGCAGGGTACGTGTCGGAGCATGCGGCATACCACCACGGCGAGCAGAGTCTGATGAGCACCATTGTGAACCTCAACCTCCTTTCCTCCCCCCGTACTTCCCCGTGCCTCCTTTCTATCTGTGTCTGTATGCAGGTGGCGCAGCTGGCAGGGTACGTGTCGGAGCATGCGGCATACCACCACGGCGAGCAGAGTCTGATGAGCACCATTGTGAACCTCGCCCAGGACTTTGTGGGCAGCAACAACGTCAACCTGCTCGTGCCCTCGGGGCAGTTCGGCACACGCCTGCAGGTGAGATGGGAGGGGATGGGAGGGCCGAGGGCAGGGCCTTGTGGGACTTTGTGGGCAGCTAAAAAATGAACTTGAAGAAAAAAATGCTGAATGTCAATCTGCTCGTGCCGTCGGGGCAGTTGGGCACGCGCCTGCAGGTGAGATGAGTACTTGGCACGCGCCTGCAGGTGAGATGAGTACTTGGCACGCGCCTGCAGGTGAGATGAGTACTTGGCAGGCGGAGGGCAGAGGGCGGAGGATGGAGGATGGAGGACGGGCAGCAGGGGACCAATGGCAGAGTGCCCGGGTTTCTTAAGTATCGCATTCCTTGCTTCCATCTATGTGTCCTACCCGCCCTTGGTTACCTTCTGTGGGTATACCTCAGGAGTCGAAGCGACACAGTGAGCCCCAGCTACATCTACATGTGCTAGCAGAAGCTGATGTATTTGCGCCCTCTTCCATCCTCTCTGCCCTATCGCCGCCTTTTCTCCCTCCTCTCCCTACTCTCCCTCCTCTCCAGCCTCTCCCTCCGCTCCCTCCTCTCCCTCCTCTCCCTCCTCTTCACCTCTCTCTCCTCTCCCTCCTCTTCCGCCTCTTCCTCCTCTCCCTACCCTCCCTCCTCTCACTCCACTCCCTCCTATCGCTTCTTTCTCTCCTCTCTCTTCTCTCCTCTGTCTCCCTCCTCTCCCGCCTCTCCCACCTCTCCCTCCTATCCCTCCTCTCCCTCCTCTCCCTCCTCTCCCTCCTCTCCCTCCTCTCCCTCCTCTCCCTCCTCTCTCTTCTCTCTCTTCTCTCCCTCCTCTCCCTCCTCTCCCTCCTCTCCCTCCTCTCCCTCCTCTCCCTCCTCTCCCTCCTCTCCCTCCTCTCCCTCCTCTCTCTTCTCTCCCTTATCTCCCTCCTCTCCCGCCTCTACCACCTCTCCCTCCACTCTCCCCTTTACCACCTCTCCCTCCTATCCCTCCTCTCCCTCCTTTCCCTCCTCTCCCTTCTCTCCATCCTTTCTCTCCTCTCCCTGCTCTCGCTCCTCTCCCTCCTCTCGCTCCTCTCCCACCTCTCCTTCCTCTCCCTCCTCTCCCTCCTCTCCCTCCTCTCCCTCCTCTCCCTCCTCTCCCTCCTCTCCCTCTTCCTCCTCGTCCTCCCCTCGGCCCTTCCTGTGTGTCTACCTCAGGGCGGCAAGGACGCGGCAAGCCCCAGGTACATCTACACGCGCCTGCACAGGCTGACACGTGTCATCTTCCCAGTGGCTGACGACGCCCTGCTGGAATACCTGGATGACGACGGGCAGAGGATCGAGCCCAAGTGGTGAGATCCCAAGGGGGATGGGATGAGCTGGGAAAGAGGTAAGGGGGGGAGGAGAGGGGGAGAGGAGAGGAGGGGGTAGTGTTTTGAGACGTCTCAAAACACTTCTTCAAACACGTAAGAGGAGGGGGTAGGGGGCATGAGGAGTGGCTGACGACGCGCTGCTGGAGTACCTGGATGATGAGGGGCAGAGGATCGAACCCAAGTGGTGAGATCTCTGGGGGTTGGGTTAAGGGGGGGTGAGTGAAGGGGGTGTGATTCACACCATGTGAAGAACAGATTCCGGATGGGGGCTGTTGCGCTGGTGTGTGGTGAATGGCGCCCTGCTGGGTTACCTGGATGACCATGGGCAGTGGATTAAACCCAAGTGGTGAGCCGCTGGGGGTGATTGGAGGGATTGAGGGCATCAGCACAAGGTGGAGCTCGTACATGCCGACGTTAAACCCTTTCTCTTACCCTCCCACCCCTCCCCCTCCCCCTCCTTCCCTTCTCCCAGGTACGTGCCCATCCTGCCCATGGTGCTGATAAACGGCAGTGAGGGCATAGGCACGGGGTGGAGCTCGTACGTGCCTCATGTGACCCACTACTCACTCCCCTCGTCTTTCCTTTCCCTCCCCGACCATCCCTCAGGTACGTGCCCATCCTTCCCATGGTGCTGATAAACGGCAGTGAAGGCATAGGCACGGGGTGGAGCTCGTACGTGCTGACGTTCAACCGTTTGTCTTGCCCTCCCACCCCTCCCCCTCCCTTGCCTCCTCCCAGGTACGTGCCTATCCTGCCCATGGTCCTCATCAATGGGAGTGAGGGCATAGGCACGGGGTGGAGCTCGTACGTGCCCCATGTGCCCCACTACTCACTCCCCTCGTCTTTCCTTTCCCTCCCCACCCATCCCCCAGGTACGTGCCTATCCTGCCCATGGTCCTCATTAATGGGAGCGAAGGCATTGGCACGGGGTGGAGCTCGTACGTGCCGACGTTCAACCCGCGGGACGTGGTGGCAAACCTCAAGAGGCGCATGAGGGGCGAAGCGATGCTGCCCATGCACCCCTGGTTCCGTGGCTTCAAGGTGCGGTTTCACAGGGAAGGGCATGTTTGGGAAGGGAGGGGGTTCAAGTGGGGCGGAAGGGGGTGGCAGGGTTTGTCGTTTAGTGGTTTTGAAAAGGGGGGAATTGGCACGGGGTGGAGCTCGTACGTGCCGACGTTCAACCCGCGGGACGTGGTGGCAAACCTCAAGAGGCGCATGAGGGGCGAAGCGATGCTGCCCATGCACCCCTGGTTCCGTGGCTTCAAGGTGCGGTTTCACAGGGAAGGGCATGTTTGGGAAGGGAGGGGGTTCAAGTGGGGCGGAAGGGGGTGGCAGGGTTTGTCGTTTAGTGGTTTTGAAAAGGGGGGAATTGGCACGGGGTGGAGCTCGTACGTGCCGACGTTCAACCCGCGGGACGTGGTGGCAAACCTCAAGAGGCGCATGAGGGGCGAAGCGATGCTGCCCATGCACCCCTGGTTCCGTGGCTTCAAGGTGCGGTTTCACAGGGAAGGGCATGTTTGGGAAGGGAGGGGGTTCAAGTGGGGCGGAAGGGGGTGGCAGGGTTTGTCGTTTAGTGGTTTTGAAAAGGGGGGAATTGGCACGGGGTGGAGCTCGTACGTGCCGACGTTCAACCCGCGGGACGTGGTGGCAAACCTCAAGAGGCGCATGAGGGGCGAAGCGATGCTGCCCATGCACCCCTGGTTCCGTGGCTTCAAGGTGCGGTTTCACAGGGAAGGGCATGTTTGGGAAGGGAGGGGGTTCAAGTGGGGCGGAAGGGGGTGGCAGGGTTTGTCGTTTAGTGGTTTTGAAAAGGGGGGAATTGGCACGGGGTGGAGCTCGTACGTGCCGACGTTCAACCCGCGGGACGTGGTGGCAAACCTCAAGAGGCGCATGAGGGGCGAAGCGATGCTGCCCATGCACCCCTGGTTCCGTGGCTTCAAGGTGCGGTTTCACAGGGAAGGGCATGTTTGGGAAGGGAGGGGGTTCAAGTGGGGCGGAAGGGGGTGGCAGGGTTTGTCGTTTAGTGGTTTTGAAAACGGGGGAATTGGCACGGGGTGGAGCTCGTACGTGCCGACGTTCAACCCGCGGGACGTGGTGGGGAACCTCAAGAGGCGCATGCTTCCATGCTGCCCATGCACCCCTGGTTCCGCGGCTTCAAGGTGGGTTCTGGAAGGAGAATGGGGAGAAGGGTGAGGGGAGGAGAATGGGGAGTTAGGAGATGTCAAGCGTGCATCCACATGGGGAGAAGGTAATAATGCTGCTTCTTCTTCCTCCACTTGTTTCTTCTATCCCTTCTCTGTGTGCCCTCGCTCTCTGTACCGCCGCTCTCTGTCTCCCCTTTCTTTGTGACCCTTCTTGCTGCTCTCACCCTATCTTTTGCTGTTCCTCTTTCCTTCCTCCCTCCTACCACCCAGGGCTCCATCCAGCTGACGTCAGCGCGGCAGGGGGGAGGCAACTCGTACACCGTGACAGGTGTCGCGACGCGATTGGCCGCCGCTGGCGGCGGGCGCAAGGGCGAGAAGCAGCCGCAGCAGCAGGGAGTGACAGGTGTCGCGATCACAGAGCTCCCGATCCGCACGTGGACCCAGAACTACAAGGAGTTTCTAGAAGGGATGATGGGGGGAGGAGCGGGCGGGCATGGTGGTGGGGAGGGAGGGGGTAAGGTGGCGCTGATAAAGGACATGAGGGAGTATCATACTGACACGTCGGTTCACTTTGAGGTGGAATTTACAGCGGAAGGAGCGGCGTATTTCATGGGAGAAGGGGGGACGGTGGGAGGGAGGGCTGGGAGAGGAGGCGCTGCTGCTGCCGCTGCTGCTGCTGCGGCTGCGGCGGCGGCAGCAGCGGCGGCAGGGGCGGCGGCTGCTGCTGGTGCTGCCACTGGTGCTGCTGCAACGGCAGCAGCAGCAGCTGATGCTGCAGCTGGGGTGGGTTTCTCAGAGGGTGAAGATGCTGACGTGGGTGTAAGGTCGCCTGGGAGTGGAGATGTAGGGGAGGGGATGGGCGGAGGAGGAGCGGGAGGTGAGGGAGGGCAGAGAGTGGAGGGGCAAGAGGAGGAGGGGGAGGAGGCGAGGAGGGAGAGGGAGGAGAGGAGGGCGCGGGCGCAGTGGGCTGTGATGGAGAAACGGCTGAAGCTGACAACGACGATGAACACGGGGAATATGCACCTGTTTGATGCAGATGGACGCATGAAGAAATACGACAGCCCTGAAGAGAGTGAGTGATGGGGCTGTGTGTATGGGTGGAGAGAGCAGGTACAGGTATGGGAAGAGGTTGATTGCGGTGCATTAAGGAACACAGAATATGCACATTCCAGAAAAGAGTGAGGCAAGGAAATGCATGAATTTGGGAATGAGTGTGGGGGTGATCAGAGTAATGGTAATGGTAATGGTAATGGTAGTGGTAATGGTAGTGGTAATGGTAATGGTAGTGGTAATGGTAATGGTAATGGTAATGGTAATGGTAATGGTAATGGTAATGGTAATGGTAATGGTAGTGGTAATGGTAGTGGTAATGGTAGTGGTAATGGTAGTGGTAATGGTAATGGTAATGGTAATGGTAATGGTAATGGTAATGGTAATGGTAATGGTAGTGGTAATTGTGATGGTAGTGGTAATGCTAATGGTAATGGTAATGGTAATGGTAATGGTAATGGTAGTGGTAATGGTAGTGGTAGTGGTAATGGTAGTGGTAGTGGTAGTGGTAATGGTAGTGGTAATGGTAATGGTAATGGTAATGGTAGTGGTAATGGTAATGGTAATGGTAATGGTAATGGTAATGGTAGTGGTAATGGTAGTGGTAGTGGTAGTGGTAATGGTAATGGTAATGGTAATGGTAATGGTAATGGTAATGGTAGTGGTAGTGGTAGTGGTAATGGTAGTGGTAGTGGTAGTGGTAGTGGTAATGGTAATGGTAATGGTAATGGTAATGGTAGTGGTAATGGTAGTGGTAATGGTAATGGTAATGATAGTGGTAATGGTAATGGTAATGGTAATGGTAATGGTAATGGTAGTGGTAATGGTAGTGGTAATGGTAGTGGTAATGGTAATGGTAATGATAGTGAACATTGTAATGGTAATGGTAATGGTAATGGTAATGGTAGTGGTAATGGTAATGATAATGGTAATGGTAATGGTAGTGGTAATGGTAGTGGTAATGGTAATGGTAATGGTAATGGTAATGTTAATGGTAATGGTAATGGTGGTGGAAATGGTAATGATACTGATAATGGTAATGGTAATGGTAGTGGTAATGGTAATGGTAGTGGTAGTGGTAGTGGTAATGGTAGTGGTAATGGTAATGGTAATGGTAATTGTAATGGTAATGGTAATGGTAGTGGTAATGGTAGTGGTAATGGTAATGGTAATGGTAATGGTAATGTTAATGGTAATGGTAATGGTAATGGTAGTGGTAATGGTAATGATAATGATAATGGTAATGGTAATGGTAGTGGTAATGGTAATGGTAATGGTAGTGGTAATGGTAGTGGTAGTGGTAGTGGTAATGGTAATGGTAGTGGTAGTGGTAGTGGTAATGGTAGTGGTAATGGTAATGGTAATGGTAATTGTAATGGTAATGGTAATGGTAGTGGTAATGGTAATGGTAATGGTAATTGTAATGGTAATGGTAATGGTAATGGTAATGGTAGTGGTAGTGGTAATGGTAGTGGTAGTGGTAGTGGTAATGGTAATGGTAGTGGTAATGGTAGTGGTAGTGGTAGTGGTAATGGTAATGGTAATGGTAATGGTAATGGTAATGGTAATGGTAGTGGTAGTGGTAATGGTAGTGGTAGTGGTAATGGTAATGGTAATGATAGTGGTAATGGTAATGGTAATGGTAATGGTAATGGTAATGGTAATTGTAGTAGTAATGGTCGTGGTAATGGTAGTGGTAATGGTAATGGTAATGATAGTGGTAATGGTAATGGTAATGGTAATAGTGGACATTGTAATGGTAATGGTAATGGTAATGGTAATGGTAGTGGTAATGGTAATGGTAATGGTAATGGTAATGGTAATGGTAGTGGTAATGGTAGTGGTAATGGTAATGGTAATGGTAATGGTAATGTTAATGGTAATGGTAATGGTAATGGAAATGGTAATGATACTGATAATGGTAATGGTAATGGTAGTGGTAATGGTAGTGGTAATGGTAGTGGTAATGGTAATGGTAATGATAGTGGTAATGGTAATGGTAATGGTAATAGTGGACATTGTAATGGTAATGGTAATGGTAATGGTAGTGGTAATGGTAGTGGTAATGGTAGTGGTAATGGTAATGGTAATGGTAGTGGAGAATGTAATGCTAATGCGGCAGAGGAAGGAGCACCAGCTGGCTCAGCTGCGCCACGAGCTGCCCTTCTCTTACTCTTCCTGCCCCTCCCTCCCTCTTTCTCACCTTCATCAGTTATCGATGACTTCTACAACATTCGTCTGGGTACTACGAGCAGAGGAAGGAGCACCAGCTGGCTCAGCTGCGTCACGACCTGCTGCGGCTGGACAACCGTGCTCGCTTACCTGTACCCTTAATCTTCCTCCCCCTCCCTCCCTGTTCCTTGCCCTCACCAGTTATTGACGACTTATACAGCATTCGCCTCAGGTAGTACGATCAGGGGAAGGAGCACCAGCTAGCACAGCTGAGGCGCGAACTGACTTCTCCGTACCGCCTTCCTGCCCCTCCCTCCCTGTTTCTCACCTTCATCAGTTATCGAGGACTATTACAGCATCCGTCTGGGGTACTACGAGCAGAGAAAGGAGCATCAACTCGCTCAGCTGCGGCACGAGCTGCCCTTCCCTTAACCCCTCATCCACCTTACGTCCTTTCCTTTCTACCTCTGCTTGATTGTCAACAGTTATCGAGGACTTTTACGGCATTCGCCTGGGGTACTACGAGCAGAGGGAGAAAGGAGCACCAGCTGGCACAGCTGTGGCATGAGCTGACTTCCCCTCACCACATTCCTGCATCTCGCTCCCTGCTTTTCATCCTCCACAGTCATTGAAGACTTTTACAGCATCCGTTTGGGGTACTACGAGCAGAGGAAGGAACACCAGCTGGCGCAGTTGAGGCACGAGCTGCCCTTTCCTTAACCTTCCTGTCCATCGCTCACCATGTCTTACCCTCCACAGTTATCGAAGACTTCTATGGCATTCGTCTGGGGTACTACTTGCAGAGGAAGGAGCACCAGCTGGCACAGCTGAGGCACGAGCTGTTGCGGCTGGACAACCGCGCTCGGTTTGTGCGGGCGGTGATTCAGGGCGATGTGGTCATCACCAACAGGAAGCAGGCAGATATCGTGGCACAGCTCAAGGTGAGAGTTGGGGTTGTGGGGCTGTGCATGTGCGGCTCATAGGTGACAGCTGCTGCACGAGCTTCTGAGGCTGGACAACCGCGCTCGGTTTGTGCGGGCGGTGATTCAGGGCGACGTGGTGATCACCAACAGGAAGCAGGCTGATATCGTGGCTCAGCTCAAGGTACGGTTGACATTCTTGAGCCAACTAGTTAATCACCCCTGAGGCATGAGCTGCTTCAGCTGGACAATCGTGCTCGCTTCGTGCAGGCGGCGATTCAAGGGGATGTGGTGATGCGTGCAGCAGGGCTGGTTTCCTTGGGGTGGTGATTCAAGGCCTAGAGGCGTGCAGCTCAAGGTAAGAATCAGAGCTCTGGGCTCACTCCTCCATCTCATCCCGCCTCCTCCCCTCTTCCCCACTCCGCTCCTCTCCCCCCCCCCACCCAACACCCCTCTCCCTTTCTTGACCTGCCCCAGGCCCGTGGCTTCACCCCTCTCCCCAAGGGCCACGCTGCCGCCCCTGTGGTGGTTGGTGACGTGGACCCAGGCAGCACTGACGTCAGCGCGGATGGGGATGACGTGGAGATGGACGACGTGGAAGCAACAGCAGGGCAAAAGTCAGGGAAGGGGAAAAACACAGCAGCAGCAGCTGGAAAATCAGGAGCTGCAGGAGCCGCGGGAAAAACGGCGGCAGGAGCCGCGGGAAAAACAGCAGCAGGAGCAGCAGCATCAGCACCACCAGCGGCAGCAGCGTATGAGTATCTGCTGGGCATGCCGCTGTGGAGCCTGACGTGGGAACGGGTGGAACAGTTGGAGAGGGAAAGGAAAGGCAAGGAGGAGGAGGTGGTGGTCCTTGAGGCCACGTCGCCCCTGCAGCTGTGGGAGAGGGACCTGGATTTGTTCCTAGAGACTCTTGAGGTGAGTAAATGGAGTGGGGATGCGTGGGCACGTGCTGCTGTGTGTGTGTGTGTGGGTCTGTGTGAGTAGCGCCATCTGTGGCAGCAGCAGCAGCGTATGAGTATCTGCTGGGCATGCCGCTGTGGAGCCTGACGTGGGAGCGGGTGGAGCAGTTGGAGAGGGAGAGGCGGGGCAAGGAGGAGGTGGTGGTGCTGCAGGCCACGTCGCCCCTGCAGCTTTGGGAGAGGGATCTGGATTTGTTTCTGGATACCTTGGAGGTGAGGGAGTATGGGTGTGTGCGTGGTGCTGTATGCTTGTATGCATCATCTCTGTGTGTGTGTGTGAGTGTGTGAGTGCGGTGGTGCTGCAGGCCACGTCGCCCCTGCAACTGTGGGAGAGGGATGTGTGTGCGGTGCTGAGTTTGTGTGGCTGTGTGCGAGTATGCATCGTCGATGTGTGTGTGCGTAGAGGCATAGCTATGTTTTAACAATTTGCTCTCTCCCGTTTCCCGTTTTCAGTTTCGTTGCACTGGCCCTAGACCCAGTGCTTATTGAACTGCACCTTGTATGTGGGTATGTGCACGTTCCTGCGTGTGCGCATGTGTGTATGTGCACGTTACTGTGTGTGGATATGTGTGTGTGAGTGAGTGTGTACACAATCGGGCCAACAGGAGGTGGAGGCAGAAATGGCTGAGGAGGAGAGGGAGAGGGAGCGGTCTGCCAATCAGCACAAGGCACGTGGCAGGAATACAGCAGGGAGGAAGGGCGGCAAGCAGCAGGCAGGGGGAGCAAGCAGGGGGAAGAAGGCAGGAGTAACCGGGGGCGGGGAAGGAGGAGGGGGCAGGGGGAAGGCAAAGGCGGCAGTGGGAGAAACAGGGATCGGAGATGGGGGAAGGCAGGGAGGGGACAGGGCGCAGGGTGGTGTTGGGTTTGGGGAGGAGGAAAGGCAGGGGAAGCAGAAGGGGAAGCAGCAGACGCTGCTGGGGACCATGTGGGGGAAGGGGAAGGGGAAGGGGTTGGGAACTGCTTTGGGTGCTGCTGCTGCTGCTGGTGGTGCTGCTGGTGGTGATACTGGTGGTGTTGCTGCTGCCACTGCTGCTGCTGCTGGTCCTGATGAGGCTAGGGGAGATGGGCCACACGTGGAAGGGACTGGCAGCGGAGCAGCGAGTGATGGGAGCAGTGGGGAGAATGAAGAGAGGAGGGAGGAGGGTGGTACGGATGGTAGCGAGGAAATGGATGAGGACGGGGAGGGAGAGGAGGGGAGTGAGAGTGAAGGGGACGACGATGAGGAGGAAGAGGAGGAGAGTGAAGATGATAGTGACTTTGAACCAACGACAGCAAAGGGTGAGTGCTCGTGATTTCGTTTTTTTCTGTCCGTTTTTGCTTTGACCTTGATTACAGGTTTGTTGATCAGTTGTCCTCCCTTCTCCTGTCTCTATGTCCCCGCAGGCAAGGGCAGGGCTGCAGCGCCTATGATTCTTGAGACGTCCAAGAGTTTTTTTCTTAACTCGTTGCATTGCTATCCTGTCTCTATGTCCCCGCAGGCAAGGGCAGGGCTGCAGCGCCTATGATTCTTGATACGTCTAAGAATTCCTAACATCCAAGAATTGTTTTCTTGACTTGTTGCATTCCTATCCTGTCTCTATGTCCCTGCAGGCAAGGGCAGGGCTGCAGCGCCTATGGATATGCCAACCCCAAGGCAATCCACTCCCCGCCACTCCTCCCGCCTCACCCGCACCCAAGCAGCTGCTGCTGCTCCTGATGCTGCCTCTCCCCAGCAGTCGAAGGAACATGCGGGCACAGATGCACAGGGACGTGCAGACACACCGGCAGAGAGTGATGCAGAGATGTCAGGAGGGCAGGGAGGAGGAGAGCAAGAGCAAGAGGATGTGGATGTGAATCCGTCACCGCCGTTCCCACCGCCATCGCCAGCAGCAGCAGCCGGCATGAGAGAGTCGCCTCCTGTGATTGAAATGACATCGTCGGAGGAAGAGGGTGGCGGGGGTTTTGGCTTGCAGGCAGGTGTGGGGCTGCGATTGGGTGACTCGGTTTCAGATGCAGGAGACACGAGCAACACGAGCAGTGGCAACGCACGCAATGGCGACGCTAGCAATGGCTCCAACAGTCCGAGTAAGCTCGCCCAAATTGCATCCTCTAGTCTTTCATTTCTGGTTTTCTCGCATGATGGGATCGTCTCCCCTTTATCCGATCGTCTTTCTTGCTTTGATTTTCTTGCGTATTTCACTCACACGGTCTTATTTTTCCCCTGGGCTGCACCCACCAACAGGTGCTGCCTCTGACCCGTACTCTCTCCACTCATCTCCCTCCGCATCCCCACCGCTCTCCACCCCTCTCCACGCCTCTTCCACCCCCAACCCCCCCACAAACACAGCCACGCCTGTCCCAGCCACCCCACTCCCATTCCGTCGTTCTGCTCGCGCCGTTGCCTCTGCGACACCTTCCAGTGCAGCAGCAGCATCACCAGCAACACCGGCAGCAGCAGCACCAGCAACTACTGCAACCCCTGTGACTGTGGAGCCCTTGGGGCCTGCTGAACCTGCAAGCGAAGCTGCAGCAACTGCCGGTACACAGACCCCTCTCACAGACGTGCTCACTGGGGGTAGGGCACAGTCATTGGCAGGTAAAGGTCGTGGGGGTGGGAGAGGGAGAGGGGCAGGTGGGAGGGGGCGAGGAGCAGCGAGTGGGAGAGGAAGGGGGGGGGGGAGGGGAGGAAGAGGAAGGGGAGGGTCTGAAGCAGCTAGTGGTGGTGGGAGTGGTAAAGGGCCTGTAGAGGTTGTTGATTTGGATGATTAGCATCATGCTGCAAAGCATGAGGGAGGGGAGGAAGAGAAATTGGAGGATCTGAACTGAAGCTGCTAGTGGGGTGGTAGTGGTGGTGATAAGACGGCCTTCAGAGGTGGTCGATATGGGTAATTCGCCTCATGCTGCAGAGTGTAAGTTGGGGTTATATGAAAGTAGCAGAGGTGTAGACTCTGCTGCAAAAAAGGTTGCGTATTTGTTCTGCGTTTTGTCTTGGATAGAGCGGAAGCAACAGTATACACTCCATACCTCTCTACAACATCACAGCACACACTAATCAGCATAACTTCCTTTCACTAAAACACTCAATACCCATCCAGCACACACTAACCAGCACACACTAATCAGCGTAAAACACTCAATACCCATTTAGCTCAGTGTCATACCATATTATGTGGAATGTGGAATGTACCATGTACTTCTCTTCCTCCAGCAGCACAGCTCACTTATCAGTCTAGCTTGCCCTTCTGCCTACTAACACTCAATACACATCAGGCTCAGGGTCTTACTGTCCCTCCGACATGTGCTCATATAATATGCGATCCGCTCCATGTACCGGTACCCCTATTCCTCCTCTGCCAACACGTGCGGGTTGGATTGGATGTCGCAACGGTAGCTTGTCCCTCTAAGAAAACTCGTAACACTGGAAACCCATCACCCATCAAGTTCAGGATCGTAGTTATCCTTTAAGTATGTGTTCATATCGTAAGGGATTCTTTCCATGTACTTCTCTTCCTCCTCCAGCAACTCATAAGGGTCGATGTAGCTTGGCGGTTGCCGGCCCTCGCTGTAGCTCTTTCCCGGATGCACAAATTCTGAACCCAGAATCTGGAGCATGCGATAAAGGGGATGAAGGTACTTCAGACTGGTTAAGATACTAATGCATGGAGACAGAACCTGTATACTGAGCATGCACTAACAGAGATGCAAGCAGAATGTGGTGATGACGGGGACTGCGGTGACAAGTCCTGCTGACCAGGTGCGCAGTGGTGCAGCAAACAACTTACCAGGTACATAGCGGTGAAGACAATGATAATGGCGACGGCAAACGGCCAGAGCGGCAGGTAGAAGGAGAGGCCTAGCTTGATCAACTCCGCTGCTCGCGCTGGTAGACCCTGCGGGGAGAGGGAGGGGGAAGTGGGAAAATGGAAGAGGAGGTTCGTCGCCCTTTCTCCATCAGAAAGGAAAGACTTCAAGTATTTAACAGCTCCGATTTTTATCCCTTCACGTTCTTGCTCCCATGCAAAACGTCCTTCTGCCTCTGGTAGTTGAGACGACTTTTGAGGCGCCTCAGAAGTAGTCTTTCTGGCTCTGACAGTTATGCTGTCCTTCCCTCCCTCTGTTCCTCTTTTCCCCACCTCAGTCTCCCCACCTTCACTAGCTCTGTTGCTCTGGGTCCTGAGTTCCCTCCCCCCCCAACTCCTCCCCTTCTTACCTCTAGCCCTTCACTGTTGAGCGCATTTGAGATCGCCCGTTGGTCGCGCATTCCCGCTCCCCCTCCCGCGCCACTTCCCGCTTCTGCGCCGGGTGCCTTGCTGGCAGCGTCTGATTGGCTGTTGGCGGACTGGGCCGCGCGCCGCCGCCGCAATTCGCGCATGAATTGCGACTCCGCGGAGGGGTTGCTGGAGTTGTTGTCTGTGGGGAGGGTTCACAATGGGTGGAAATGGGTTGACATTGTTTTGGTTGGAGTTAAATTGGATTGTATCGGTTTCTTTGCGGTGAAGAGTGTGTTTACGAAGCGCCTTGAAACATGACGGCGGAAATCGCGCGCGAATTGCGCTTTGCTGGAATGTCAGGGCTTTGTAAATGGAGGAGTTGGAAGCATGTTGCGTCAACACAACGGCGCAACTCGCGCATAGAGTGCGGCTCAAGGGGAAAATTTTCAGGGGAGGGGTATTGGAGGGAAAACAATGATAGGACGGGCGCAAAGACGAGTGAGGCTCCAAGGCAGCGGCACGTACCGTCTGGTTTGCCCGCCATGGCTCGTATCCGCCACCCCGCTGCGCGCCTCGCGCACGTGCCGGAGACAGAGGTAGAGGCGGCGCGGCGTTGCGCTTCAAGGCGAGTGGGAAGCCGTTGTGAGGAAGGGATGGGGAGCGAGTGGGAGGTGAAGGTGCGCGCTGGCGTCATGGCTGCTTGGAGCCCGTGGCGGCATGACTGAGCAGCTGTCGTTGCTGCGCGTGCTGCTAACATGGCGGGTGCTGGCCGAGAGATACTGTTCCGAATCAATTCAGTCTGCTTCAGCCCCGACGGCAGTGGCGAAGTCGCTTCGGATTACTCTGGCAACAGTTGTCGCTACGACGAATTAATCTCTTGCGTGATTGACCAAGCGAATCGGATGGGACCAGCGTTGTGATTGCGGAGAGAATTGATGGCCCACTAGTAGCGCGGTGGCTGGTGGTATGCTGCGGCGAGCGAGATTCGGTGAAGCTTGATGCTGAAATAGGCGACTTCTTGGAGATTCACAGAGAGACTGTTGAATGGCGACAGGCGGACGACTCGACAGAGTAGGGGGGAAGGAGTGCGGAGCGGAATGTGAAATTGCGGCCAGCTGTCCGCTTGGGATTAGCTGACGACAACCTGGTGAAGTGAACGTGGTCGGCATTGGAAGCCTCGAAAGATTGACAATTCTGCTGACGCCACGTCAGATCCATGTGCACATCGGAGGATCTCCAGAAGCATTCACCTACGCCAATCAGACAAATTTACAGGTCATGACGAGGTGGAGCTGACAACAATGTGTACGCGATAGAGCATCAACGGCATGTAACAAGATTAAAACCACTTGCTTGGGCAAATATAATACAACGATCAAAGATTTAAGAGGCATATCATAATAAATTATTGAACGGTGCCACGCTCCCAAGTAGCATTCAAAGCGACCCAAAATAACTAGAGACTTAGTGTTCAAAGAACAGGGGAGCGGCTGCTAAAGCAGCTGTAGCAAGCAGGTTGAGCAGGATGTGAAGTGTGGGTGCTAGCGCCTCCCGTAAAGTGCCGCCAACCCTGAAACAAGTCACCATTGTACAGTCAAGAAAACGACGAAGGGAAAAATAAGGGTCCATTAAAATCTCCCATGCACACGATAAAAAAGGCGGCAAATTGCAAACAGGTACACCCGTGTGCTGCTTACGTGTCGCCAGTGATGGTGGCCTTGTGTGCTTCACTCCCCGGCCCACCCAGCTGGCCTGCTTCCACCACGTCCCTGGCGCCCCTCCACGCACTCCCTGCTCCGTTGAAGAGCGCAGCCAGCAGCAGCGTTACCAGCACCGCCACCAGCAGCAGCGCTGCCACTGCCCTTGCTCCCAGAAGAGGCTGGAGGGTAGCCTTGCCTACTGATCGCACTATGATGCCTGTGAGTGAGGGGAGGGGGTTGTAGGGGAGGGGAGAGAAGGGAGATGCGGGTAGGATGGAAAAGGGGGGTGTTTAAAAAAAGGGAAACTGTAGCAAGGAAACGGTCGGCACACAAAAATATATGACAAGGCAATACCAAAAAAAAAAGAAGAGTGGTGCAATTTTACCGTGCTACCTGTGTGGCCAGCATTCAACATACCCATGACGATAGGCGCAGCGACTGCAAGCAGTCCTGGCAGCAGCAGCTCCCGGAGGCTCACAGCCGCCACTGCACCCACGAAGCGAGACGGATCGTCCAGCACCATGGGCGCCCTTGGGTATGCCTGCTGGGGGAATGACGAGGAGGGAGAGGAAAATGGGCGGAGAGTGGAGGGTACACGGATTTGACTAGATGAGTCGACTCCTGAGGCTCACAAATGCCACTGCACCCACCAAAAAAAATGGATTGTCCGGAACCACAGGGCCATGTGGGTATGCCAGCTGGGAGAATGGGTTGGGGGGAAAGGTCCGGAAAGGGGAGTTAACAGGGATTTCGGTAGGTGAGTCGACTCGAAAACTCCTTAGGCTGAATCCCGCTGAGGTCACACGAGGTCACACTTGGTCACACGTGGTCACACTTGGTCACACTTGGTCACACTTGGTCACACTTGGTCACACTTGGTCGGTCACTCTTGGTCGCACTTGGTCACGTTTGGTCACACATGGTCACACTTGGTCACACTACTTGGTCACTCTTGGTCACACTTGGTCACTCTTGGTCACACTTGGTCACAACCTTCTCCTCTGCTCGGTGGTGCAGGTGCCTCCTTCCCTCCCTCACAACAATGGCAGTGCACCGCGTCACTCCACCTCACATGCTGTTCATAAGGCTATTCTTCAGCCCTACTGCATGCCCTCCCCCCTCCTACCTTCTCCTCGGCTCGGTGGTGCAGGTGCCTCCTTCCCTCCCTCACAACAATGGCTGTGCACCAGGTCACTCCACGCGTTTTTTCAGGTGAGGCTATCATACAGCCCAGCCACATGCTCTCCCCTCCTACCTTCTCCTCGGCTCGGTGGTGCAGGTGTCGCCGCCCCTCCCGCACAACAATGGCCGTGCACCGTGTCACTCCACCTCCTGCCATCGCCGCGCCTCCCACCACCACTGCTGCTCCCACCATGCACGCCACTAGCAGCTCTGGCCGCAACAAGTCAATCTGGTGGCGAGAATGTGGCAGAGGGACGGGAGTGGCATGGGAATCAAAAGGAAATGAAACGGACTAACTCCACATGCTGCCATTGCCACTCCTCCCACCACCACCACTGCTGCTCCCACCATGCACGCCACCAGCAGCTCAGGCCGCAACAAGTCAATCTGGTGGCGAGAATGTGGCAGAGGGACGGGAGTGGCATGGGAATCAAAAGGAAATGAAACGGACTAACTCCACATGCTGCCATTGCCACTCCTCCCACCACCACCACTGCTGCTCCCACCATGCACGCCACCAGCAGCTCAGGCCGCAACAAGTCAATCTGGTGGCGAGAATGTGGCAGAGGGACGGGAGTGGCATGGGAATCAAAAGGAAATGAAACGGACTAACTCCACATGCTGCCATTGCCACTCCTCCCACCACCACCACTGCTGCTCCCACCATGCACGCCACCAGCAGCTCAGGCCGCAACAAGTCAATCTGGTGGCGAGAATGTGGCAGAGGGACGGGAGTGGCATGGTCCACTCTCAATAATTCTAGATATTTCAATTAAAGCTCTTTTATGATGTAACTCCGATTTAGAGAAGATAATACCTTCCCCAAAATGCGAAAGAGGTCTTGAGCAAGGGCGCGATAACCAAAAGGAAAGAAATACAGAGTACAGCACCAGTGCCCCTCTGCCATTCTCAAAAGTGATTCCCACCAGTGCCCCTCTGCCATGCACGCGGCTTTTGACATGCTGCCAAGCATCAAAGATCAGTGGAGGCTGGAATAGAAGGTTAGAGTCACAATGGTACGGACTAGTTTTTGGAGCCTCAGCAATCAACTCACATTGTGCAGTGCTGTGCTGTAGTAGGAGGAGACAAGTGTCAGGAGGAACTTACGTTATGCAACGCGGTGCTGGAATAGGAGGAGACGAGTGCCACAAACGCATGCACGAGCAGCAGAGAGCAGAGCGACGAGGCCCCACACCCCATGCCCCTAGTAGCCGACGCCACAGCTGATGCTGCAGCTTCTAAGGGACTGACTGGCGTCCGTACCACTGCTGCTGCCGCCACTGCTGCCGCTGTCGCTGGTGATGCTGATGCAGAAGATGAGGGAGCGTGGGGTGGAAGTGCAGCGGATTGCAGTGAGGACGATTGTAACGAGGATGAGGAGTCTCCTGTGCTACCTGCTGCTGCAAACCCTCCTGCTGCCATCTCGCCTGTCGCTACCCCTCCCCCTACCCCTCCCGCTGCTGCTGCTGCATCTGAGGGTACTTGTTGTTGCAGCAGATGCGGTGATCCTGCTACAGCTCCCACATGGTCTGGAGCCATGCTGACTCCATCTTGCATACCCATGCTATATGCGTCCATGCCGTGAGCTGCCATGCTGTGTGCTGCCATGCTGTGTGCATCCTGCTGCATCACATCATGTGCTGCCGGGCCGAGACTGAACTCCTGCATCTGCTGCATCTGCCCCTGCTGCTGCTGCTTCTGGTGCTGCGGGTAGGTGACGTGAGGGGGAAAGGAGAGGAGAGAGAGATGAGGGGAAAAAAGATAGAGTGGAGGGAAGTGAAGGAAGGGGAGAAGTGCGAGGGGAAGAAGATCATCAAGTAGTGGTCAAGTGACCCCCCTCGAGGAAAGGGAAGGTAAGTAACAACGGAACAAGGTCGTGAGGAGTAACCCACGCACCTGTGCCAACATTTTACACAGCAAGCCAGCGTGTGAAACAGCCAGCTGAAAGTGGCGAGGGAGAAGCACCCGCTGCTGAGCATGCCCATCACCGCCACAGCTAGCCCTAGCAACCCCCCTGCTGGCTCCCCTTTCCCATCCACCGGCCCCATCAAAACCCCCACGGGCTCCCCCGAATTCCCCCACCTTCACCAGCTATCCCGCTCACTCCATCCACCAAACCCCTTGACTGACCTTGGTTGACCATCACCCACCTGCGCCATCATTTTACACAGCAGGCCGGCATGCGAAACAGCCAGCTGAAACAAATCAGTGGTGAGGGAGAAGCATCCACTACTAAGCATGCCCATCACCGCCACAGCCAGCCCCAGCAGTCCCCCTGCCGGCTCCCCTTTCCCATCCACCAACCCCGAATTCCTCCCCAGCCACACCGCCGCTGCCACGGCCAATCCCACGATGACAGCTGGCGGCGCGGCGGTGGCAATCCCGAGGGAGAGTCCCGAGGAGATGTTAGAGGCGTGGCCTGAGGAGGAGGAGATGGCGAGGGCGCGGACGGGGGGGGGTGGGGCGCGGAGAGGAGGGAGGAGGAGAGGAGGAGGAGGATGGAGCAGAGCATGCCGAGGAGCGCGCAGAAGAAGAAATGCAGCCAGGCGAGAGGGGCCTGCTCCGTGAATAGCAACCACCTGGTGGCCTGGAGAGTGAGGGGATGGGGTGAGGGAGAGTGAGGGGATGAGGTGAGGGAGGGTGGGGGATGGGGTGAGGGAGAGTGGGGGGATGGGGTGAGGGAGAGTGAGGGGATGGGGTGAGGGAGAGTGAGGGGATGGGGTGAGGGAGAGTGAGGGGATGGGGTGAGGGAGGGTGGGGGGATGGGGTGAGGGAGAGTGGGGGGATGGGGTGAGGGAGAGTGGGGGGGATGGGGTGAGGGAGAGTGGGGGGATGGGGGTGAGGGAGAGTGGGGGGATGGGGTGAGGGAGGGTGGGGGGATGGGGTGAGGGAGGGTGGGGGGATGGGGTGAGGGAGGGTGAGGGGATGGGGTGAGGGGAGGGTGGGGGGATGGGGTGAGGGAGAGGGTGGGGATGGGGTGAGGGGGGTGGGGGGATGGGGGGTGAGGGAGGGTGGGGGGATGGGGAGGGGAGGGTGGGGGGATGGGGTGAGGGAGGGTGGGGGAGGTGGGGGATGGGGTGAGGGGGAGGGGTGGGGGATGGGGTGAGGAGGGTGGGGGATGGGGTGAGGGAGGGTGGGGGGATGGGGTGAGGGAGGGTGGGGGGATGGGGTGAGGGAGGGTGGGGGGATGGGGTGAGGGAGGGTGGGGGGATGGGGTGAGGGAGGGTGGGGGATGGGGGTGAGGGAGGGTGGGGGGATGGGGTGAGGGAGGGTGAGGGGATGGGGTGAGGGAGGGTGGGGGGAGGGGGGTGAGGGAGGGTGGGGGGATGGGGTGAGGGAGGGTGGGGGGATGGGTGAGGGAGGGAGGGGATGGGTGAGGGAGGGTGGGGGGATGGGGGGTGAGGGAGGGTGGGGGAGGATGGGGTGAGGGAGGGTGGGGGTGAGGGGTGAGGGAGGGTGGGGGGATGGGGTGAGGGAGGGTGGGGGGATGGGGTGAGAGGGAGGTGGGGGGGATGGGGTGAGGGAGGGTGGGGGGATGGGGTGAGGGAGGGTGGGGGGATGGGGTGAGGGAGGGTGGGGGGATGGGGTGAGGGAGGGTGGGGGGATGGGGTGAGGGAGGGTGGGGGGATGGGGTGAGGGAGGGTGGGGGGATGGGGTGAGGGAGGGTGGGGGGATGGGGTGAGGGAGGGTGGGGGGATGGGGTGAGGGAGGGTGGGGGGATGGGGTGAGGGAGGGTGGGGATGGGGTGAGGGAGGGTGGGGGGATGGGGTGAGGGAGAGTGAGGGGATGGGGTGAGGGAGAGTGAGGGGATGGGGTGAGGGAGAGTGAGGGGATGGGGTGAGGGAGAGTGAGGGGATGGGGTGAGGGAGGGTGGGGGGGATGGGGTGAGGGAGGGTGGGGGGATGGGGTGAGGGAGGGTGGGGGGATGGGGTGAGGGAGGGTGGGGGGATGGGGCATGCCAGGGTTGGGTTGGGGGTAGGTAGTAGAGAGAGGGAGGGGGAATGCATGAGGGGTACGTATGTGAAGAAGGTGATTTGGATGGGTAAGGGACGGTGCAGGGGAACATTAGGAGGAGGAGAGGAGGAGGATGGAGCAGAGCATTCCGAGCAGGGCACAAGAAGAAGAAATGGAGCCAGGCGAGGGGGGCTTGTTCCGTGAAAAGTAACCACCTGGTAGCCTGGAAGGGTGTTTTTGTAAGAGAGGGCGGGGGGAGAATGGGGGCGGGCGTCACACCGTAACCATAACCGAGACGCAAATACAGAACCTACACATTCAAGATACAATAAGACCCATTTACCAGGGCGAAGGAGGAAACAGCAAGCACGAGTGAGAGGGCGTATCCATTGAATATACACCCCACCACCTCCTCTGCTGCTGTTGGCAGCACTGATCCCCGCACCATGGGCGAGCGGGGGAGAGGAGCGGAATCTTGAGCGGGGGAGTTCGAGGAGAACGGGGAGGAGGAGGAGGAGTAGGAGGAAGAGGAGGAGTCGACAGGGAGGGAGTGAGGGAGACGGGAGGAGCCAGCAGCAGCAGAGACGGAGAGTATGGCTGCTGCTGATGTGAGGAGGTCGAGAGAGAGGACCACGAGGGGCAGGAGGATGAACCCTGTTGGGTCTGGCGTGGGGGAGGGGAGGGAGGAAAGGAGGGAGGTGCATGTAAGGTCAATTATGACATGTGTGGGGTCTGGAGTGGGAGAGTGTGAAGGAAACGAGTGGAATGGGAAGAAAATCATGGGAGGGTAAAAGAGTGAAAGAAGTGCTGAAAGGGAAGCAGACCTATTGTCGATGGCGCAGTGCTGTGCCATATGTGCCCGCAGCACGACCTTTGAGACGTCTCAAGAGGAAAGACAGCAAGGAAATGAAGCAAACCAGTGACAGCTTAGGTATTTAAAAGCAAACGTACTGTCAATGGCGCAGTGCTGTGCCACGTGTGCCCCCAGCACCATGGACGCCACTGCCTCTGCTGCTGCCAAGCAGAAAGCCTCACATGCCCTTGCTGCCCACCTCGCCATGCCCACGCCCACCTGCATGGGGAGGAGGAGGAGGGGAAATGCAAAAGCAAAACAGACCCTTAAAAACAGGATCTCATCAAACTTAGAACCTCGAAAAACAGACCCTCAGAAACAAACCAATCATGGCAGCGATAGCAGCCACATTGCGCCACTCCTGCTGCCTCTGGAGTGGCTTTTGAGCCGACTCAAAAGAGAGCTCAGGAACAGACTATCAGAAACGAACCCTCAGTGACAGACCCTCACACACAGACCCACGCCCACCCACCATGTCAGCAACAGCAACCACGTTGGCGCCCCCTCCTGCTGCCTCTGATGCGCTTCTGTCCATCCTCGATATAAGCTTGTGGCCCAGAGCCAAGGAGCGGGAGAAGATGGACGGCGGAAGTTGGTAGAATAGAGACACCACTGCCGCCCCGAAGCAGAAGCAGACAAGCAACGCCGGCACTGTGGTGGGAGGGGTGAGGGAAAGAAGGATAGGCGAAGGTGCGTTAAGGAGGAGAACATGGGAGGAAGGAGAAACAAGATGAGGTAAGAGTGGAAGGTGAGAGTCATTGAGAAGGTGTGTGCGTGGTGTGGGTGGATGAGTGCAGGGTCGTTAGTAATAATAAAGAAACACATGAAAAACAGTTGAAAATAAAAGAAACGCATGAAACAAAGTCGAAGAAGAAAAAAGAAAAACATATGAAACATAGTCAAAAAGGAGAAGAAACGCATGAAACACACATGTTAATAATATTTTTAGAATAGAGCTGCAGGCGTGATTTGTTCCTTAGAGCCTCGAAGCACGACTGCTTACAATCTGCGGGTTGAAGTCCTGCTGAAGCCACAGCGGATTTGCAGTAGCAGCAGAGGCGGAGAGGCCTCTTCGTTTTGGGGCAGCGAGGGAGGCGGGGGAGCGGGGCGACGAAGGCCCTCCTCCCATCATGCATAGCAGCAAGCAAGCAAAGTCAACACAGGAGAGAAACGGTTCCTTGTGCTTACAATCCGTGGGCTTAAGTCCTGGTGAAGCCATAACCGAACCCAAAGTAGCCGCCGCGCCAGCTGAGGTGGAGAGGCCTCGTCGTTTTTGCGCAGCGAGGGAGGCGGGGAGCGGGGCGAGGTGCATGTGGAAGAAGGCGAGCAGGGCGCTGTAGTTGATGCCCAGCCCCACCACCGGCACCGCTGCCACCACCAGCGCTGCTGCCCCCGCTGCCCGTATTGCAACCTGAGGGTAAAGAGGGGATTTTGCGTTTGGTTATCAATCTAACCTTAACTTAGCCGTTCTCGGTCTTCAACACCTCCACAACCTCTTTCCCTCCCCTACGGCCCCATCAATCCCTTTGCACAATCCCCCATGCATGTTTTGTTGTGAAGACACGGACAAAAAATGGCTTCATTGTTTTCACCTGAAGGGCCTCTTGAGGGGATCGCCTGGCAGCAACAGCAATCCTGGCAGCAGCAGGCACAGACACCCACACAGCAGCATGCGCAGCAAGCGCCATGCAGAAACCGCCTAGGAGGAAGGAGAGCAGCGAGACGAAGGCGAGCAGGGAGATGACTATATGTTATCATTTTCACCTGAAGGGCCTCTTGGGGGGATCGCCTGGCAGCAACAGCAATCCTGGCAGCCGCCGGAACAGACACCCACACAGCAGCGTGCGCAGCAAGCGCCATGCAGAAACCTCCCAGGAGGAAGGAGAGGAGAGAGACAAAGGCGAGCAGGGAGCGGTGCACGCCAGTGGCCTCCTGCTGTGGCGAGAGCTGGTGGGAGAGGTGGATGAGGGCCACTAGCATGGTGGCCACTAGGACCGCCTTGGCTGCTGCTGCTGTCACTGCTGCTCGCAGGGTGGCCGCTCCCCTTTGAACCGCTGCTGTCACCTGCAGCAGAAAGATGGGCGTGAAGGACTGAATGAGTTGCGTGCATGTGACTTGGTGGAGAGGTGGATGAGGGCAACGAGCATGGTGGCCACTAGGACCGCCTTGGCTGCTGCTGCTGTCACTGCTGCTCGCAGGGTGGCCGCTCCCCTTTGAACCGCTGCTGTCACCTGGTGGGTGCAGGGAGGGCAAGGGGAGAGAAAACGGCGTGACGAGGAGTGGGGAAATCAGAATAGGAAGAGGGCGGAGAGAGGAATGGTCCATGCTAGTGAAGCAAAGGTTTTTGCCAGCCTTGTGAAGACGGGGATGAGCACAGGGGAGGGAGGTGTGGGAGACAATGAGGGCGGCGTCAAGGCCCACTGGAAGTGACGGGCGCTGTAACTGCGCTGCGCTTCAGCCCCCACTCCCACTCCCACCCCCACCGCACCCCCACCCCCGCCCCTCCCACTCCCACCCCCACCCGCACCCCCACCCCCGCCCCACTCCCACTCCCACCCCCACCCGCAACCCCACCCCCGCCCCCCCAGTCCCACTCCACCCCCACCCCCACCCCCACCCCCCACTCCCACCCCCACCCCCCCCCCCCCACTCCCACCCCCCCCCCACCCCCCCACCCCCACCCCACTCCCACCCCCCCCCGCACCCCCACCCCCCCCGCCCCACTCCCACTCCCACCCCACCCGCACCCCACCCCCGCCCCACTCCCACTCCCACCCCCACCCCCACCCCCACCCCACTCCACCCCCACCCGCACCCCCACCCCGCCCCCACTCCCACTCCCACCCCCACCCCCAACCCCACCCCACCCCCACCCCCACCCCACTCCCATCCCCACCCCATCCCCGCCCCACTCCCATCCCCACCCCCACCCCCACCCACACCCCACTCCCATCCCCACCCCCACCCCCACCCCCACCTCCAACCCCAACCCCACCCCCACAAAACACCTCCAACCCCAACCCCATCCCCACACCCTCCTCCACCCCACTCCCACCCCCACCCACCTGTCTGAGCGTGTTCCCCCCGTCGTCCCTGCTGCGCACCCAGGAGGCGAGCAGGGAGGCAAAGAGCATGGCGGCAGCGGCGAGGAGGAAGACGGGGATGAGCACGGGGGAGGTGAGCGAGGCCAGCAGGAACGCCAGCAGGAAGGGCGCCGCTGCTAGCAGCCTCGCCACCTTGATTCCGCGGAACAGATCCGGGCTCTGGGGGAGGGGTGGGGAAAACGGACGAGGGAAAGGTGGGAGAAGGTCGGGGTTTCTTCGGGGACTGGGGAATAAGAGAAGATTGAGGGGGGGGGAGGGGGGGGGGGGGGGAAGAGCATGGGGGAAGATAGCAGCTAGCCAAACTGCATGAGTGAAGCAGAGCGAGTTAAGGAGCTCGGCGGATATTACCATCAAACGAGAACGAGACCACTGGGAACTCAGAAAAGGGAGAGAAAAGAAAGAAAGAAAGGACGGAAAGAAAGAAAGAAAGAAAAGAAAAAAAGGAAAGCTTAGAAAGAAAGAAAGAAAGAAAGAAAGAAAGAAGAAACAAAGAAAGAAAGAAAAACACCTCATGTAAAAATGGATGAGGAATCAAATAAAGGAAAAGGCAGGGCAGGGAGGGCACTGACAAGGTCGGGCACGACCACCACATGCTTAAAAAGAAGGGAAACAAACAAACAAACAAACAAAGAAAAAGGGAAGGGCAGGGAGGGCACTGACAAGGTCGGGCACGACCACCACATGCTGCGCTAGACTGTCCTCGAAGGGCGTCCGCGCCATGAGCTGACTCTTTACAGGCGCCAATAGGCAAGCCTGGGTGAGCTACTGTCAAGTGCGGACCAATCAGCGGCTGCTTTGAAGAAGTTTGCGGTGCTGGGAAAAGGTGGGATTGGGGGAGTAAGGGAAGAGGATGGGAGAGGAGGAATGGGGGAGATGGAGAGGGGGGAACAAGGGGGTGAAGAGGAGGGTAAGGTTTGGGGAGGTTGCTGGCATAAAATTCACCAGGTCAGCAGTCAGGTTATGAGGCCATGGCGGATGCTAACGTTTGCGAGAGTAACGGCTCTTGAATAGGAGCGGGAAAGAAGAGGTGTAGGGTTGACTCAACGAGACCTGGACGTACAAGCTGCAGCCTGACAGCCTACATCCGCGTTGTGAGTTCGTTCACGGATTAGGCGAGGACGTCCGTGCCTCGCAGCCGCATTCTCGCAGCCGCATTCTCGCATTCGCAATCTCGTATTCGCAATCGCTTGTCGCAATCACATTCTTGTATTCGCAATCGCATTGTCGCAATCACATTCTTGTATTCGCAATCGCTTTCTCGAATTCGCAGTCGAATTCTCGCAATCGCATTCGCATTCTCTCAGTCGCCAGCCTCACAATCGCATTCTTGCAGTCAAATATTAGCTCTCAGCGATTCCCGCTCCACGCTGAAGAGTCAATGCCACCATTGTCAATCTCACCTGCAAATACGGAGGTGAGCGGCACGGTAAGCTTTAGATGTATCTAATCTGGAATCGCAGCATTCGGATTCGACACCGCGCAGCCATGGTAGGTAAAGCGCTATTGAAGGCCCTGTGAGTAGGTGCTTGGCTAGTCTCGATTTTGTTTTGCTGCACAGAAAGAGAAGCGAGGTGAGCCATTTCGTTTCGCCATTCGCGACAAAATCGAGGGGATTGTTCGGTAGAGGATCATTCGCTTAACGACCAGCAATTGTCCTAAGCGTTTAGAGGTATAAGATTGTTTTACAGAGATTGCAATCTTCAACATGAAGCTCATACATCCACGATCCATGATTTCCTAAGAAAGCAATACAAGCATCTCCCAACAGCATCTCCTGTTTCATTGTCACCCACTGCCATTTCCCCTCCCCCTTCCATCCACAAGTCATCAGCCTTCCACTCAAAAGGCATTGTCACCTCACCATTCAGTAAAACTTGTTTACATATTCCATAACCCTTCCACTCGGAGCCTTCCCCAACGCCGCAAACTTCCACTCAGACGGTCATTCTTACCTCACAATGCCACATTAAGGCATTCTCATCGTCCACCCCCCTCTACACCCCAATCCTGTTCCACATACCAGACCTCCTCAGCCTCTTTAACATACCTCGCCTGCTTGCTCTCCAAAGCCCCTTCACCTGCACAATGCAAAGGGTGCGCATACACAAGAACCTGCTACTCAGCATGCACAGTACGCACGCGTGAGTCGCCAACAGCAGTCTTGCCCCTGAATGCCCCACCTGGCCTCTCCATTCTCGTGCATCTCTTCCTTCTCCTCCCTCTTCTGTCTCTCACCCCTCACATACTCTCCTCACTTTCTCCTCCTGCCTCTCTCCCCTCTCCTCCCTCTCTCCACTGCCTCTCCTCCTCCATTCACCGGGGGTTCCTCACTTTAGCCCCGCAGTGCCGGCAGCAGAACCGGGTGTGACGCACATACATGTGGAAATGGTCCAAACTCCCACACGCATGATGGGAAAACCCCTCCGTCTCTGCCACCTGCTCCTCCTTTTACTCCCATCTCTCCCCACTCGCACAACCCAGAAACTCTCCTTCCTGCACTCCCATCACCTCCCTCCCTGCCTTCCTCTGCCTCTCTTCCCTCTCCCGCCCTTGCTTCTCCTTCCCCAATCACCGGGGGTTCCTCACTTTAGCCCCGCAGTGCCGGCAGCAGAACCGGGTGTGGCGCACATACATGTGGAAATGGTCCAAACTCCCACACGCGTGGTGCGAAAACCCCTCTCTCGCCGGCGCCTGCTTGTCCCTAAACCCCACGCCGTGCCGCCCGCAGAATCCAATCGCCTTCACCTCCGGCAGCTGCAGCAGGCCGGGCGGCAGATAGTCCAAACCGCAGCCGTCCACCACGAGAATGTGCAGACGGGGGAGTGCACTGCCCAAAACTCGGCCGGTGCTTCTAGCAGCTGCCCCAGTGGCAGTAGTGGTAGTGGTGGTGGCGGTGGCGGTGGCGGAGGCGGTGGTGGCGGTGGCAGTGGCAGTAGCAGTGGCAGTGGGAGTAGTGGTAGCGGTAGCAGTGGTGGTGGCAGTAGTGGTGGTGGCTGTGGTCGTGAGAGTGGCAAGAGGGGTGCTGGTAGGTCTGGTTTCTGTGAAGGGATTCGGGTTCGGCTCAGCAGGAGCATTGCTGATGGGACTACTGCTGGGGTGAGAGGCCAAACTGCTGCTACTGGGATTGCTGACAGCACTGCTCCTGCCTTGGTCCTTAACTCCCCCTCCACCTGCTGCTGCGCTGCTGCCACCTGCTGCTCCTGTGCTGACAGCAACACCACCAGTCCCGAACCTGCCTCCTCCCAGGCCAAAGGCTGCACTGAATGAAAAGAAACTGCTGATGGGGGTAACATGAGCCCTTGGTGGTGGTGGTGGCGGCGGCGGCGGTGGTGGTGGTGGCGGTGGTGGTGGTGCAGTGGTAGGTGCTGCTGATGTGGCTGCTGCTGACGTGGCTGTTGGAGGAGTAACTGCTGGTGCGACAACTGCAGGCAGGGAATTCCCACCACCAAGCGAATCAGACACAGGCGGAGGTTGGGGAACAACTGACGATGTCAACAGGTTACAAGAGGTTGACGGGTTGGACGGCGGCGGAAGGTTGAAGGAGGCAGGGGACGGCCCAGGGGGGCAGTGAGGCGCAGGGAGGAGTAGAGGCCGTGGGGGAAGGAGTTTTCAAAGTAGGCGAGAAGCGGCGGGCTGCCGGACAGCCAGCCTTCGAGGTAGTGCAGGTGAGAGAGACGCGAGAGCACCCTCTCATAGTGGTGTAAATGCCGTGCTGGCCTGAACGATGCTGGTGATGATGGTGATGAGGAAGATGATGGGATGTGTGGGGATCGGAATGATGATGCAGTGGCGGTGGAAGTGGTAGGGAAGGGGAAGTGCACTGGCGAGTCTTCGTCCCACGTCTCCTCTTCGTCTTCCGATCCGTTGCCCTCCTCCCCATCCCCATTATCACTCTCACTCTCTTCCTCCTCCTCCTCGTCGCTCACGTAACTCTCATCATCCTCCTCATCTGAAGAATCCCCCTCAAATTCATCGTCATCATCATCTATCGCAGCTTTCCCCACCCGCCTCCTCCCCATCCCACTCCCCTCCCCTCGCCCCGCTCCCTCCATCCCACCCCCTCTCACTCTCCTCCATCCCGCACCAGCCCACCTCCGCCTCTTCCTCCCTCCTTCCCTCTCCCCCTCCGCCCCCTCCAGCCCTAACCCAAGGTCGTCTAGAGCAGGGCAATCCGCTATAATCAGCTCCGTTAAGGTTTCCCACTGCTTCAGCGCGTTGGGAGGGAGGGACGCCAATCGCCAACAGTCGTGTATCACCACGCACTGTAGCACGGGCAGGTTCGCCATCGAAACGGGCAGCTCCTCCAGGCGCGGGCAGAGCGACAGGCCGAAAACTTTCAGCGCGGGCAGCTGCCCGAGAGAGTCGGGCAGGCGTTCGAGGGACGGGAGCTTGAGCAGGAGGAGCGTGTCGAGGGCAGGAAGCTGCCCGAGGTCTTCGGGCAGGGAAATTAGCGAAGAACAGTCGGAAATCTCCAGAAAACGGAGAGAGGAAAGGGTGGAGGAGAGCGGTGGGGGATTGGTAAGAGGGAGGGTCGGGACGCGGAAAGTCAAAGACCCTAGAGCAGCAGCAGCAGGAGCAGCAGGAGCAGCAGCTGCTACGCTCGTTCTGCTGCTGGGTGCGGTGGTGGATAATGCGGTTGCGTGCGCATGAAGGCTGGACAGTGTGCTGGCAGCCGTTGCCTCAATACCACCATCACCAGCGGTACTCGCGTCTTCAAGAGACAGTTCATCCAGTGACCTATGCCGCTCACGCCAATCATGCTGCTCACGCCGCTCCGACCGACCGAATCCACCCGCCCCCCCTGCCCTCGGCCCGCCAGCAGTGTTCCCACCGCCAAGACCCAGCGCAGAGGAAGCAACGCGGAAGGGCGGCAGGGTGGTCAAATGCCGCGCGCCATTCACGCACAGCCGCTCCAGCCCCGACAGATGCGCCCACGACTCAGGCACCTCCCGCAACGCATCGCACCCCTCCACCTCCAACACTCTCAACCCCCCCAGGTGGCCTATCGACTCTGGTAACCCTACCAGGCTCGGCAGCTGCTTCAGCTCCATACTCTCTAACCTCACTAGACACCCTAGGTCTTCAGGGAGAGAGGCTAGCCTCTCGCATCGGACAACTTCTAGGGTTGCTAGTGCGGTCAGCTGCGCCGTGCCGGCCGGGAGAATCTGCAGCGCGCTACAGTCGCTCAGGCGGAGGCGGGAAAGGCGGGAGAGTTCCGCGAGGGAATCCGGGAGCGCGGTTAGCGCGGCGCACTGGGATAGATGGAGTTCCTCGAGATTGGATAGGCCACCTAGGGAATCCGGGAGGCATGTGAGGCGGTCCGATTCTAGTTTGAGCACGCGGAGCGTCCCCACGCGGCCTAGGGTTTCGGGCAGCATCAAGAGGTCGAACGCGTGGATCTCGAGGTGCTCCAGCGAGGGCAGATCGCCGATGGACGGCGGGAGATGATGGAAGCAACGGCTGGAGATGCGGATGGTTCGGAGGGCGGAGAGGAGGGAGAGGTTGCAGTGAGAGGAGGTGAAGCGAGAGAGGGTGCTGACAGATGGTTGACCTAAGTGCTCGCTCTGACCGAGTTCGAGTGCTTCGAGTTGCGTTAGGAGGTTGATGGTGGGCGGGAGGGCGGAGACGCGGCGGTAGGAGAGGAGACGGATGACCTGGAGCCGCGGGCAGCCGCGAAATAGATTGGACAGACCGGCTTCGCTGAAGCGCGTGCGCTGCTGGTAGCCTACGTGGAGGAGATTGAGATTGGGACACGTCACACCCAATCCGCAGAGGAGCAGGTCATCCGCGTCATAGACTGTTCCGTCAGCGACTATAAGGTGCGTAAGAAGCGGGAATCGCGCGAGCGACTTAAGGAGCTTCTGCGTGGAAATTTCGTGTGACACGTGGACGTAGGTGCGGCCTAGGCAGGAAAGTTGGTACCAGCGTTTGCAGACTAAAGCGTGGTCGAAAGAGCGGCGCGTGACGTAGTGGAGAACGCGAGCTAAGACATCGTCAGGTAGGTCGTTAAGAGGGAAGGGTTGAGTGCAGGCGAAAAGCCGCAGCGAGGTGGAAGGGAAAAAAGAGCTCCACATTTTGGAATGGACGTGCCTCCTAATTAGGGTTTGAAAAGGCAGCCTTCAAAGCGAGGAGTCGGGAGAAGTGATGGCGCTAATGCTTGGAACATAAGTCAGGAGCTTAAACTGGACGCAACTATCGTTCCGCACGGCAAGGATACCGTTGCTTCGACGAAAGCTCGTGCCATAGTGAGGGGTGCGAGCTTCGCGCAAAGAAAGCTAGTCTTTCTGTGCTAGGAGATTCCACCTGGAGGAATATATGGTAGGGAAGCGGTGTGACTGTAGGTGATTGTCAATCATGGATGAAGGACCTAAACGAATTCACGAAGGTTCGGTTTCGTCCACGAATAAACTGAAACCGGTAACAATTGCTCGTCGAAATGAAAAAGGAGCGGGGAAAGACGAAGTCCCTTGGCCAAAAGACGTCAGGGTGAAATGGGGCAGTTTCGAGGGTCGTATCGCGTGGGTCCCAGTCGTCGAGGTCAACTGTGGATGACCTGACCGACCATTAGCAACGGAGCCGCTCATCGTCACCGTCGCGAAATTTGGTCGCCGCGTAATCCGACGGCTTTCATGATTTGTGGAGAAAGCATGTCGTTGGCAGGAAAACACGCGGAAACGTCAAATGCCGTGTGCCTTGGGGCAAGCTGGCTTGGCGTGTGCCTTGCAAGCAATCGTCCTCTCCCCAGCGCGCCGAACTCTGATGGCTTGATGCGTTGCAAAACTATTCTCTAAGCTTACAGCGTGATAGCACTCGCTATAATTTGCTACGTATAATTTGACAGACGAAACAACTAATAAGAACTTAAGCAACCATCCCTGCCTTCTGGCTATCTTTTCACTACACTGGTGCCATATCTTTCAATCTTCATCCACCATGTCATTAACTTGCTCTAGGAAGTTGCGCACTTGTGCTGCCGAAAGGAGCATCACTAGGCGAAGGTGTTGAAAGCCCTTCAGCTGAGAAAATGACATTTGTGGAATGGGTACGGGAGGGAAGGAGAGGGTAGAATTGTCAAGAATCAGCGAGAGGAAGTAAAACGGAAGAGGGTAGGAGTAGAAGGGGGGGCGGAAGGAAGGGGTTGAGGAGGAAATTAAGGGTTCATAGGCGGAGGGAAGAAAGTTGGGCGCCATTCTGTACTTAGTGCGCCTGTGCTCTAGCTGACCTGTCTAGAAGCCATGACGTCAGCGTGGACCGGGAAGGAATACGATGACGTGGCGAGCTGCATGGCAACAGGTGGGTGGGACAGGGTGAGAAGCAGCAAGCAGAGGGCATGAGAATGTGGCGGAATGCACCGAGATGGAGGCATGAGGCATGTATGTGGCACGCAGTTGCGTGGTAGCAGGAGGTACATGACAGTGGAATATACTGAGAAGGAGGCATGCGATATGCGGCACCTGACTGAACGATGGCATGCGGCTTAGGGTGAAAATGCTGCAGGCAGTAAGGCCCACCTTCTTGAGAAGCTCGTCCTCTGGTTTGGGGAAGAACAGCTCTGAGGCGCTGCTCCCCGCTCCGTCTGCCTGTAATGAGTAAAGTTTTTAAGCAACTAAAAAATTGCCCACCTTCTTGAGGAGCTCGTCCTCTGGCTTGGGAAAAAACAGCTCTGAGCCGCTGCTCTTCGCTCCCTTGGCCTGCTTCCTTGCCACCTGCACACGGCCATGAGACATATGGTCATATGGACAAGGCTGCACAAGGCTGCTTCCTTGGACAACGGCGGCATATGGTCATATCAGCAGACGTGGATTACTCGTGCAATGGTGATGAGATGCGATCATTTTGATGCATGAGGACTGCATGAAAGGTTAGTGATTTCCCCATGGCAGTGGTGTGACCTTACATGGTGAGGTAACACCACAGAAGAAGTGTGCCGGACAGGATGAAAGGATGTAATTGCATAATTACTGCGTTATTACCACATCCTCGGTATATACAAATGGGTGATCAGCAGCTGTAAGTAACCTGAGCGTGAACGACCATGCGTTAGAAGAATTCCTGTGAAGAATTGAGCCCACCCATTACCTTGCCGCCCGTCTGGCGGTACATGCGTGTGAGGATAAGAAACTTCTCCACTGGTGCTCCCTTCTCCAGCTGCCATGTGGACCAATGGGAGGGCGGAGAGCGGTGAGGGTAAGACAAGAAGTTGGGTGAGGGGAAGAATAGGGATTCGTTGGGAAGAGGAACGAGGTGGGGGGAACCGGGATGGTGAATCTACAGCTTGGCAACAACACTGCGGCGCACCACCTGTGCCTATCCTGCTTGTGAGCAAATGCCCTGGAGTGTTGTGCAGCAGCGCAGAGTGCTGGCTCTTTCCGGAGCAGGTTCAGGGCATATACGGTTTGTGTTTAAGGCTTCAAATTTGGGGTTTCAAATTCGCGGTTTCAGGTTTAGAGTAGAGAGTTCAGGGTTCAGGGTATAACGTTTGGATTTAAACTTTCAAGTTCAAAGTTCTGGTTTTGGGGGCTTGTGACCCACCATAGGTTGCAGCGTGCTTCTGAAGAGGTGAGGCACGAGTTGGAAGGGCAGGTTGGCCACACGCTCGCACACCACCACACCCACGCGCCCCCTCTGCATCACCCCCCACAGCTCGTCCCACTGCGCCCTGTTGTCACACCCCTCGTGCAGGAACCGGACAAAATCCGCCGTCCACCCCTTGGACTGCAGGGGGGTTTGGTGGGTTTGTGGGTGGGGTGAGAATGAGGATGCGAACATAAGCATGTATAACTGGTTGCGAGCAAAACTGGCGAGCGTGGTCAACATGTGATGTGGTGGAGAACGGGCGAGCTAATGCTAGCTGGTTCCACTGCTGTGTCTTTAAATCACCAAAAAATATCTACTAATCAATTCACAATGCATGGCATGATAACGCGCCCCACGAAATCTCACCTTGCAGATCAACGGCAGACAAGCAGTGAGCCCCAGCACGCTCCCCTCATCGCCTGCCTTCACCACCGTCGCCACACTCCCACTTCCACCACTGCCAGCAGCATCACCCTCCCCGGCTGCGCCTCCCCCCGGAGTTCCCGAGGTGACCGCGTCCACAAAGGCCGGCAGGTCCCACCTCTTGCCGTCCAGGAAGGTTCGCAGAAGCGCCTTCACGCCATGGTAATCCGACGGCTGGGCGTCGAAGAAGTCGAAATCAACCATCAGGATCTGGTGAGGTGGGGTGAGTCGGGGTGGGATGGAAAATGTTGGTAGGGAGACCACACCAGCATGGTAGGGAAGTGTCACAGCATGAAAAGAGTGCACTGCCGGCAAACACTCTGCTCGCATCCTTGAAAGCATGAAAGCACGGGAAAGAAAGGTACCACGGCGAAAGCTCTGGAAGCTGCGGGAACGCTCATCCCTCAATCTCACTGGAAAACAACTCTCAACCCTCCAGAAGGGCGTATAGAAAGAAACCGTGAAGCCTATTGTTAGTAGGTTGACCTTGAAGCTCTCAGCCCTCCAACAGCTGTCCGTACCTCCTCGTCAACAGCTGTCTCAACCCTCCACTAGAGCTTTTAGGAAAAAGCCCTCTCTTCAGACATGTATGTGATCATACAGCTCTCAGCCCTCCAACAGCTGTCCGTACCTCTTCGTCGCCTTTCTCCTCGCCGTCGCCGTCGCTCCCATCGTCCTCCTCCTCATCTTCCACATCCTCGTCCTCCTCGTCTCCTTCGTTATCCTCATACTCATCATCCCCCCTCTCGTCGTCGTCGTCCTCTTCCTCCTCTACGTTCTCATCGGCCGCAATCCCGTTTTCCCCTCCCTTTCGCGACCGCTTCCGCAGCAATTTCTCCTTGTCGGCATTCCCTATGGGTCTTAGACCTAGAAGTTCCAACTGCTGGTCCTCTGATAAGCGACCTAGTTGCTGCCGTAGTCGTCGCCGCGAATCACGGCGTGATCTCACTACAGAGAAGGGGTTGTTGAACGGCGGCAAGCCGAAGAAACCCGAGGTGGCAAGACTGCGAACCATGGCGGCTTGCAAGGCTAACAGGTGAAAGCTGTTCACAGATTGCATTAAGTCAACGACTAACAACGTTTTGCTATGTCCAGTTGTCATGGGGGTGTAGCTCACATGGTAGAGCGATCGCTTCGCATGCGATAGGTAAGGGGATCGATACCCCTCACCTCCACAGCCCTGTCGCTTGTTTTTCTCTCTTTCAGATACATTCCGCATCCCGTAAGGACATGCCCCTCTTGTTTGAGCCCATGAACTTCACTTCTAGTCAACTATGCAGTGGTGGAATACACACTGTGGCACCTCATTCTGGTGCCGAACACTTCATGATCATGTGTTTGGATGCCTCATTTCGGATCCAAAAAAATGTACTATTTCATTCAAACCCCATGTCTTTGCCTCTCAGCATCCCTAAGCACCCGCAGTGCCATGGGGCGCCATTGCTTGGCAGTGGACACTGACAGACCCATCCCGGTAGACAGGCCCTTTAGCAACATCATGGTGCGCACTATAAAGAAGATGTCCGCTGGGAAAGCCTGTGATTTAAAGGGAGAATAGCAAGGGTGGGGAAGAATGACAGCTTAGCAGCATCATGGTGCACACTATAAAGAAGATGTCCGCTGGGAAAGCTTGTGATAGTAGTGAAGGGAGTGTGAGCAAAGAGGTACAGACTACAGTATGATCATCTAGCAGCATCATGGTGCGCACTATAAACAAGATGTGCACTGGGAACGCCTGCGGTAGTGAAGGGAGCACAGGGAGCATGAGGAACTAGGTATAGTATGATCAAGCAGCAGCATCATGGTGCGCGCTGTAAAGAAGATGTGCCCAGGAAATGCCTGCGGTGATGAAGGGAGCATGAGGAACAAGGTATAGAATGACTGGTTAGCAGCATCATGATGCACACTCTGAAGAAGAAGTGCGCTGGGAACGCCTGCTGGCATGGAGGGTGGGTGAGCAGCGAAATGCAGACGATGATAAAGTCAGAATCAACTGGCCGAGTATGTGACAGGCCGAGTATGTGAAGTGACAGGACAGATGAAACAACAAATGCGCACAGAAAGAGACTGGCTCCAAACACTTTGACCAAAGAAACAAAACGGACTGGTCAAGAAACCAAAGGACTACCCCAATACCCAAACCTCAACAGGAAATCAGACGGACTAGTTGAGAAACCAAAGAAGCTGTCCAAAGATCCATGCCCACATCTCACCTTCATCGCATTGCTCTTGAGCGAGCTCTCCTCCCCGAAGGGATTCGCGCTGGTAACCCCGTTACCAGATCCCGTGTCAAACATGATCATAGCCATGCGGCGGAAGCTGCTGGGATGCTCCCCTGCCGTCTTGGCCGTCTCTATCCCCATCGCCCTGAAGCACGATCCAACGGCTAGCATGTCTCCATCTGCTATCGCCACCACCAAGCGCGCCAGATTGAGCCTCAGCGCTTCGGGCAGCTGCTTGGTCTGGCCGTAGTCTAATAAAGCCACCCTGCCCCCCGCACACACGAGGATGTTGCCCGGATGGGGGTCGGCTTGAAAGTGCCCGTGCTGCAGCAGCATACGCCCATAGGCTGTTGATAGCGCTGAGAATATGCGACTGCAGGTGTAGGGGAGGGGAAAGGGAAGGAGGGAATGATTGTGATGGGAGGTTGGGGAGGAGCTGGCCAGGTTAAGCCTCAACGCTTCAGGAAGCTGCTTGGTCTGGCCGTAGTCTAATAGAGCCACCCTGCCCCCCGCACACACGAGAATGTTGCCCGGATGGGGGTCTGCCTGGAAGTGCCCGTGCTGGAGCAGCATGCGCCCATAGGCCGTGGAGAGAGCAGAGAAGATGCGACTGGGGGAGCAGGAAGTGGAGACACAGGAGGGAAAAAAGGGGAAAATTGTGAGGATGGGAGGATGGGCCTGGAAGTGCCCGTGCTGCAGCAGCATGCGCCCGTATGCCGTTGATAGGGCCGAGAAGATGCGAGTGGGGGCGCAGGGAGTTTGGGGAGAGGGGAGGGAGTGGAGGAGTAGGGGTCGAGCAGGACAACAATGTGAGGATGAAAGGGTGGGGAGAGGGAGCCTGGGACATAAAGGGTGGGGCATACAGGCCCGGACGAGGGATGGCAGAGAAAAAGGCCATGGCACATCATGTGACCTTATGCAGGGGCAAGGGGTACGCGAACAGGAGTAACCCAACGTCACCCCGCCCCAACCCCACCCCACCATCTCACCCTGCCCCACCCCACCCCACCCCACCCCACCCCACCCCATCCCACACCCACACCACCCCACCCCACCCCACCGCACCTCTTGGTCTGCTTTGCCAGTGCGCCATCATTGCTGATGCCTCGCTTGCGCATCTCCTCAGGCAGTCTCAGCATGGGTGTGTCCTCAGCAAGGCGTACGTGGACGCAAGTACCCCAACCAACCCTCACCCCATCCCACTGCACCGCACCTCTTGGTCTGCCTTGCCAGTGCGCCACCAGGGCTGATGCCTCGCTTGCGCATCTCCTCAGGCAGTCTCAGCATGGGTGTGCCGTCGATAAAGTCCATCACCAGTAGGCGCCTGTGGGCGGCATGGGTGGGCGGCATGGGTGGGCGGCATGGGTGGGCGGGAGGGGAGAGAGAGGAGATGAGTGGCAAGCGATGCCGTTTGTTTCGCGTCCAATCGCCCCTCAGAGTGCAGCGTGCCTTGCCTTGTATGAGCTCCGTCAGCAACACCTGCCTGGCCTGGGACCAGCAAGACGCAACTGGCGAAGAAGGAATGGGTGTGCGTTTGCCTGGATGAAGCCTGGACCTGGGTATGCCGACGGGTATGCCGACGGGTATGCCGACGGGAATAGACGAGGAGATCCTGCAGCAGGAAAGGAAGATGGGCGCAGGAAGGGAGAAGGTGGAGGAAGATTGAAGAATGCAAGTAGTGTGCGGAGAAAGGGCGCATTAAAGGGGGAGGGGTAGTGGGAAGAAGGCAGAAAGGCGATCCTGTGTGCCATACAAAGCACAGCATTTTATCTCCTAACAAATGAGGACCCCGTATGAGGCGACAGCAGTAGCAGCACCCGTACCTGGTGACGAGGCCTGGTATGGCTGCTGGCACGATGACAGGTGACGAACGTGTATCCACCTCCGCGCTCCTCCCACCACCTTCAACCCCATATCGACCTCCATGTCTTGCCCTTGTCCCCACATGCGCCACACTTCCTACCCTACCCACCCTCTCCCTCCTATCTGCCCCATCTGCCCTATCTGCCTTGCTAATCCCTCCACTACCCACACCACTTCTGTCAGTTCGCCTACTGCTCCGGATCCTTCCGTGCCTCTTCTGCCTCTCGCCCCCGTCCGGCTGGGCCAGGGCGTGTCTGATTCGCTCCATGGCGGCTGCCTCGTGGGCAAAGTCAAACTCGAACCGGATCTGATGCACAGGATCGAGAGGAGAGGAGGAGGGAAACAGGATGACGACCGAGGGCACCACATGCCCAGTGGTGCCGTTGAGCTGTCTCCAACGTTCATGGCTGTTGCCTCGAGCCCTGTAGCACAGAGCATGCCTTTCGTATCGTTTCCGAAGGAAGCAGCCACAGAGCGTTGGGATGCTTGATTATTAGTGCAGGACAATGTGAAGAGCTGCTGAAACAGTGGAATTAATGGAGTGTGACATACATGCCTGGGGGCGTGCACGCACCTGCTGCTCCAGCCCCGAAATGGGACCCAGCAGGTCGACCTTGAGCTCGGCGCGCTGCAGGAAGCATTGTACTACTGGGGTGCACCATGCGCAAGAAGCAGTGCACCCTGCACGCTGCATTGAGCACCATGCGCGCACCTGCTGCTCCAGCTCCGAGATGGGACCCAGCAGGTCGACCTTGAGCTCGGCGCGCTGCAGGAAGGCGCCAAAGAGGCGCAGATTCGCCAGGTGAGAGAGAGCAGCACATTACTAGGGTAGGGTGCACCCTGCACTGTGAAACAGGCACCTGCGCGCACCTGCTGCTCCAGCTCCGAGGTGGGACCCAGCAGGTCCACCTTGAGCTCAGTGCGTTGCAGGAAGGCGCCAAAGAGCCGCAGATTCATGGAGTGGGAGTTAGCAGCACACCAATGGGTTGCGCTGCGTCCCCCACCCTACACCTGGCATCATGCACCAACCACCATGCACATACCTGCTGCTCCAGCTCAGAAATGGGACCCAGCAGGTCCACTTTGAGCTCGGTGCGCTGCAGGAAGGCACCAAAGAGCCGCAGATTCGCCAGGTCCATCAGCATCAGGCGCTCTGCTCCCGCGCGCTGCACCTGTGGGGTGAGAGAATGAAGGGGGTGTAAAGGATTATCAACCCACAGCAGAGAGGCATCCCCATGCTCCCACAGGACGCCAGACCACTACATCATGTTTATGCCCTGCCTGCCTGCGCTACAAGCATCAGCCAACTCTCATTCCTCTGCTTGACTTTTGAGTCGACTCAAAAGTCACCTTGCTCCCACAGGACGCCAGACCACTACATCATGTTTATGCCCTGCCTGCCTGCGCTACAGGCATCAGCCAACTCGCATACCGCTGCTTGCTCACCTTGATGGCCACACGGCGCCCATTCTTGCCCCTGTCAACCTGCTCTGAGTAACTAGAAACCAAACGCCATACCAAACATCATGCGTACGGCCTGCCTGCCTCCCATGTGCTTGCTCACCTTGATGGCCACACGCCGCCCATTCTTCAGCCTGCCCCTGTGCACCTGTTTGCCAGATGGCACACCATCACACCATCTCACACTCACACCCACACACAGACACACACACACACACACACACACACACACACGCACGCACACACACACACACACACACACAGACACACACACACGCACACACACACACACACACACGCACACACACACACACGCACACACACACACACACGCACACACACACACACGCACACACACACACACACACGCACACACACACACACGCGCACACACACACACACACACACACACACACACACACACGCACACACAAGTGGCAAAGTGCATGGGAAAAAAACGAGGATAAAAGATTGAGTAGGTGCAAAGCAACTCCGGGGAAACGTAGACTGCAACAAGCACTTCAGCACAATTCACACCCTTCCATAACACACTTCTCCAACTCCTCCCTTCCATCCGCAACATAAAATGCCACAACAAACTTCTCCCTTTCATCCCCCTCATCTTCCTATTTGTTCACACTGACCTGGGCAATGGACGCAGATCCAACGGGCTCCTCCTCAAACTCTGCAAACACGTCTTCCAGCCGCACCCGTGCCACGTCAGCAGCACTTGCCACGTCACTCCCTGCCACGTCAGCGCTTGCCAGCTCAGCCTCGACGGTGCCCCGGACGAGAGGGAAGGGGTCGGCAGGCGCACTGTCGTGGAGAGGGGCGAGGCGACGCACCCAGGCTGGGGGGGACATGTCTGGCTTGGCTAGGAACTGACCTGCCTGGAAGGGTGGGGAGACAAGAGGAGAGAAGGGTAAGGGACGAGTGAGGAGAGGAGATGAGATCGCACCCAGGCTGGGGGGGACATGTCTGGCTTGGCTAGGAACTGACCTGCCTGGAAGGGTGGGGAGACAAGAGGAGAGAAGGGTAAGGGACGAGTGAGGAGAGGAGATGAGATCGCACCCAGGCTGGGGGGGACATGTCTGGCTTGGCTAGGAACTGACCTGCCTGGAGGGAGAGAGGGGGTGAGGTGAAGAAAAGAGGAGAAAAGGTTAGAGGTGGAGTAGTGAGGAGGGGGGCGAGGCGACGCACCCAGGCTGGTGGGGACATGTCTGGCTTGGCTAGGAACTGACCCGCCTCGTGGGGAGAGGAGGAGGGTTGGGGGGAGAAAGGGGGTTCAGGGTTTAAGAACATGTCTGGCTTGGCTAGGAACTGGCCTGCCTGGTGGGTGGAAGAGAAGAGGAGAGATTGGTAGGGGACGAGTGAGGAGAGGAGATGAGTTTGCACCCATGCAGGTGAGGACATGTCAGGCTTGGCTAGAAACTGCCCTGCCTGGTGGGGAGAGGAGAGAGATAAGGGGCACGGAGAGAAGGGTGGAGATGACATTGCGTGGTGCAGGAAGGGACTTGAGTGGCTTGGCCAGGAACTGCCCTGCTTGGTGGGGGAAACGCGGAAGGTGAGGAACAGAGAAGGGAGGAGGTGTGACGAGAGGAGGTGTCCGGCCGTACCTTGAGAGGAAAAAACCATGGCCCGGCCGTACCTTGAGAGGAAAAAACTCTGGTCCGGCCGTACCTCGAGAGGAAAAAACCCTGGTCTGGCCGTACCTTGAGAGGAAACATCCCTGGTACGGCCGTACCTTGAGAAAGAAGCCCTGCATTTCGGTGCACAGTGAGTGCAGAATCTCTGCGCCCCGCTCGTGCTGCTCCTCCCACGCCGCCCGCCGCTGCTCCTCGCTCAGCCTGCCTAGGCGCACGCGCACCTGGCACAGCTGGTGGCGTGCGCATGGGAGTGGGGGAGAAGCGAGGGAAGCAGGCGGAAAGGGCGTGTGTGCGCGGACTAAGGGGAGCTACTAATGAGACTATGAAGGGCCAACTGTGGAAGAAATTGAGTCTTTATTTTTAGGCAAATTAAAGAAGCCTATCTGTGGGAGAGATAAAATCGCGTGGAACGCAGCGCATCAAGGTCACGCGGTCGTTTTCAATTGTCGCGTCGCATTGAAACTTGTTCGGAAAATTATATTCTAGTGCATTGGAAATTGCTGTAAATGCATGATACGCACTATTCGTTCTAGTCACCTTGTAGCTGCCGTACAGATGCACGGCTCGTCTCCAAAAGTCGAAAATGCGGTGCAGCGCCTGCTGCTGCTCGCGCCAACCCTCCGCTTTCCTTGTCCTGCCGCGACTCCCGCTACCGCCACCGCTGGCGGTGCCGCCCGTACCGTTGTTAGCGCTGGTACCGCTGCTGGTACCGCTGGTAGCGCTGGTAGCGCCGGTAATGCTGTTTGTTCCCCGCGCCGTGGCACTCCCCGCCTTGTCATGCGAATGCCATGGCGCGCCGGCCAGCCCGCTCCGGAGTTGCGACTCCGCCTGCACGATCCGATCCTGCAGCCATCCCGCCAGCTCGGCGCGCAGCGAATCGGGGTTCGAGATTACGATAGCATTATTGCTACGGTCGGTCGACGCGGCAAGACAACGCGTCATGATTAAATCAGGAAGGTTACGATGGCGATAACGACGTTTCTCGGGAGTTGACTAGTACGTGGTTAATGGGAGGCAGTTTTCGAACGAAATCGTAACCACATGGACCTGACATGGCGGGACGATGTAATTGTTCGAATAACACTATCCCGGCTATCAGACATCGCATAAACGAGAATAGGAGTTGTCAAGTGATGGAGGACGCCATGGATTGTTCCGTGAGAGAAAGGTTATTATGCTGTGGTCTTTGATCAGTGTGCTTGCGATGTGGGCAACATTGCACACGGTTTGCGATTTCTGGAACCAGAGTTTTACCCGTGCGCGACACATCAGTGAGAGTAGGAAACAGCGAAATCGGCAGCGAAAAGATGACGATGAATTTCCGAACTATCGCGAATTCCATCCTCAGTCTAGTCCTGCCTCGCCATCGCTGTTACACATGAAAGACCGCGTTACACACTGGAACCTGCGCACCGTCATTCGCCAATGCTTTTCTCGCACGGATTTCGTGCGCTGATTTCCAGAACAGTAATTCATATACAACCGCGCTCAACCGTGTTGGAATCAACTGAGCGACACTCCCGAGAGGCCTGCTCTATAACGGGACTGCTCTGAAGTTATGTTACCACTTTGCGCAACACTGCACCTGCTATTATCGTCGAACACCTTTGATTTGTCGAGTCGCTTCGGTCTCTCCAAACCAAACATTCGTGGCCGTGTATTTCCTCAATTATTGAATTGCTCTCGCTCACTTGCCTTCGCTTCCCGCACTGGCCGCTAACACACCTGCTCTGCCGATTTCTTCCCCATTCCATTGCCACCACAAACCACCGCGCACCAACTATCATTCCTGATACAGCCGCTCTGGCCGTCTTTTTCCTAGAATTATCGGCGTCACTTTGGATTGTACGGCAGCAAACTGACGGAAATGACCCAACTTGAAGTTGATCAGAAATGCACGAGCAGTTCGACGTGGCCCAGCGGAGTTCCCGCCGTGAGTCTCGCCTGCCTGCCGTGAATCTCGTTCCTTCCGAACAAACAGTCGCCACAGGAACGAAATTCACGGCGGAGCTCCTTCGATTATTGATATCACTGAAGCCGTGGTGTTACCAATAATCAGAACACACGGGGCTCGGACCGCACAGCAGAATGACGGACGCAACTCAATCTGATCTTGCCTCGTGTGCGATCCGATCCGCAGTGCGGCTTGGCCCTGGCGGCGTTCAAAAGGGACGGTCCCGCCGTGAGTTGCCATACTCGTCACTCATTCATTCCTTTCAACCAACCAACCTAATCGATGGCGAATGCGCGTTTCCTTTCAGCTACATTGGCATGGGTGATACTAGTCGTGCTGATGGCTCTCAATCCGACACCTGCGTCCGCGGTTCGCAACGCCAACCCGCGTAAGCCTGCTGGAAAGGCGGGCCCGCGCAAGGCTGCTGGAAAGGAGGACCCGTGCAAGACCGACCCGAAAACAAACCCCGCATGCGATCTTAAGGAATACTATGGAGAGCACTACGACGGCGAGAGAGATTCTGCTTATGGGAATGATGTTGCGCTAGGAATTCGGTAGCGTTTGGGTAGCGTTGGTCTCAAATGACTAAGTGAGAATTTGAGTAGAGATTGGACTTCACTAGGAAAATAGAATATATGAAACACACAAGCAAACACAAACATATAAAGGCAAGCAAGCGTTCACAAAAGGTAGCGAGGGCGCTGCGAGTAACCCAACCCACACGAAAGTGCTGTGGGAGTTGGCGAACGCGCCCCGCCAAACTTCCATCCAACTCAGCAGCGAAAACCTTCCGAGCACGCAACTCCATCCGACTCAGCTTGGGAGTGGCGTGCCTCATAAGGAAGCACACAAAGACTCCCACGACTCTACTTCCCAGCACCGACTTCAGCAGATTCCTTACTGCAGCTCGCATTCACCCGTAGTCACACTTGACTGCCATCGAACCTGTGCGACGGTGCCGAGTAGACCAGGTCGTCGGTCGTCAACCTGCCAAGTCTAACATTTCGCGAGGGCCCTTGCTGTCGTAGGGCCCTCTAACACTCCCCTGCCATACTACAGCAAGGCCCTTTATAATCACAGGGCATGCATAAACACATACACACCAAACAAAGGGAAACACACACAAACGAAGCACTCTCAAAGTGCAAACACGCACCGCACCAGCCATGGATAGGCCATGGCACCATCCACATCACGGAGTGTCTAGGTCTCACTCCCCTCGCTTGAGGCTCCCCTTGAGCCCCATGCCACCTGCCACTGAAATGGCGGAGGAGTTGTCCACAAAGAGAGTAGTGGGAACCTCACTCCTCAGCAGTTGAAACTCTGCCAGCAGGAAGCGCAGCCGACGCGCCTCCTTCCCCGCCTCCACAGCAGCAACGTACTCAGACTCAGTGGAAGAGAGGGTGGCGCAACGAATCCTCTGGCTCGCCCACGAGACAGCAGCACCTCCGAGCACGAAGACATAGCCACCAGTGCTAGTCCTGTTCTGCTTGTCTCCCGCATCATCCGCATCGGCATAGCCCACCAGCTCCAAGGACTCAGGCCCACCACCAAACTCCAGCGCAACATCCCTGCTCCCCACCAAGTACGCCAAGCACCGGTCCAACTCCTTCCAGTGCTGGTCACTCCGCACAGTCTGGCCTGACCCCAGCTTGCTGCAGGCAAAGGAGATGTCGGGACGAGTGGTACAGGCTGCGAACTGCAAGGATCCCACCTTCTGCCTGTACTCCTCCTCCTGGCGAGACTGCCATCCCGCATCCTCAAAGGTCTGCACACTGAAAGGGTCAGAGGAAAGGGGGGTGCGAGGCACTCGCAGCGGCTGCTCCCCGTCGAAGAAGCGCCTATGGACCTTGTCCACGTAGGCCCCCTGGTGCAGCCACAGCCTCCTCGTAGGCCTGTCCCGAATCAGCTGCAGCCCCAGGTACTTCTCCACAGGGCTAATCTCCCGCAGCTGAAACGCACTCTGCAGCAGCTCACGTAGCTCCCCCAGCATGCTCTGACTGCGGCTGGCAGCAAGCAAATCATCCACATACACCAGCAGCCAGCACATCTCCCCGTCAGCATCACTCTTGAAGTACAAAGCCTCATCCACTTTGCTCTTCTTCCATCCAGCCCCAAGCAGCACCCCATCCAAGGCCTCATACCACAGCATCGGGCTTTGCTTGAGGCCATACAGACTCTTCAACAACTTACAGACACGAGGAGTCCCATCCTCGTAGTAGCTCGGCTGCTCCATGTACAGGTCTCGGTCCAGCACGCCATGGAGGAACGCATTCTTCACATCTAGCTGCATCAGCTCCAAGTCAAGTGCAGCTGCGATCGCCAGAAGTACGCGCGCCGTCACATAGCTTCCCACGGGGGCGTACGTCTCCTCATAGTCCACCCCTGCCACCTGCGTGAACCCCTTCACCACCAGCCGCGCCTTCTCACGCTCCACTACCCCATCAGGTCGGAACTTGGTGTTCAGGATCCAGCGGTTCTTCATCACATTCACCCCTGGCGGACGCGGAACCAACTCCCACGTCCCCTGCTCAATCAAGCTCCGCATCTCCTCATCCATCGCCTCCTTCACCTTGTCGCCCTTCCAGCAGCCCAAGGCCTCCTTCACTGTCATCTTCGCTATATCCCACTGCCTCTCAGGGTCAGCCACCACGTCAGGGTCCAGGTCCGTCCACTCTTCGTCCTCCTCCTCGTCATCCAATCCCGCCGGCTCAATCACTAAAGCCCAAGCATACTTAAGAGGCGGGATACCACGGGTGATGCGAGTGGAGCGACGCAGTGGCGCAGTGATCGTCCCAGAAGCCAACACACGACCACCATCTCTGATTCCCCACAGCTCCTGCTCCCCTGTCTGCGGCTCCCCTGTCTGCTGCTCCTCTAGCTGCTGATCCACCATCTGCTGCTCCTCAATCTGCTCCTCCCCTATCTGCTGCTCCCCACTCTGCTGCTCCCCTAACTGCTGCTCCCCTATCTCCTGCCCCCCACTCTGCTGCACTCCATCCATACTGCTCTTGTCTTGCAGCTGCTCAGTCTCA